AGGTAAGACCCTGTATTAGAGGAAGCATGCAGGATGAGGTAAGACCCTGTATTAGATGAAGCATGCAGGATGAGGTAAGACCCTGTATTACAGGAAGCATGCAGGATGAGGTAAGACCCCTGTATTAGAGGAAGCATGCAGGATGAGGTAAGACCCTGTATTAGAGGAAGCATGCAGGATGAGGTAAGACCCTGTATTAGAGGAAGCATGCAGGATGAGGTAAGACCCTGTATTAGAGGAAGCATGCAGGATGAGGTAAGACCCTGTATTAGAGGAAGCATGCAGGATGAGGTAAGACCCTGTATTACAGGAAGCATGCAGGATGAGGTAAGACCCTGTATTAGAGGAAGCATGCAGGATGAGGTAAGGCATCTCACAGTAAATAGAGTCCATCATCAAAGACTTTGTGCCACTTAATAACAAAAGGAGGCGTTTACCTCCACTAGCTAGATAACCTTGACCCAATGTCAGGTAAATAACAAGTAATTACATCACCAGAGCCCTTTTCTTTTGTGTGACTGTGGTTTGTGCCGACAGGATCAATGTGTTAAGGTTAATAGTTGAAGATACTGTCCTTTCTGACCTCCCGATGAAGCCCTCCATACAGCCAGGAGTTTTTCCTTACCTACACTCTACACTCTTAGAAAAAAAGGGTTCCAAAAGGGTTCTTTGGCTGTCCCCATAGGATAACCCTTTTTGGTTCTCTAGGGATAGGGTTCTGCATGGAACCCAATAGGGTTCTACCTGGAACCAAACATTTTTCTTCAAAGGGTTCTCCTATGGGTACAGTAAAAAATAAAAATAAATCCCAGCCTTAGCTCTCCATACCAATCTTAATTTAGTGTGGAGAGTGAGTCACAGAGCCTCCAACCCAGATTTCTGATCTCCAGTCAGCCTGGCCAGGGACATGATGAGGCCAGCTCGGACGGCAGAGAGGCCAGGGAGGGCCTGGACACTGAGGGAGGGAAGGAGGGAGGGAGGATGGCTAATTAAAGACAAGCAGGCCACAGTCCAAGCCAGGAAATGACATGCTCCTAATTACAGGACATGAGTAAGAAAAGGAAAAGAAAGCTGGGTAATTGTAGGTCTGAATAGGGCAAAACAGGAGTAGATAGCAAATTAGATGTGGAATGAGGAATACAATAGAGAGAGAGAGAGAGAGAGAGAAGAGAGAGAGAGAGAGGGAGAGAGAGAGGAGAAGAGAGGAGAGGAGAGGAGAGAGAGAGGGAGAGGAGAGGGAGAGGAGAGAGAGGAGAGAGAGAGAGAGAGGAAGGGGAGGAGAGAGATAGGAGAGGGAGAGAGGAGGAGAGAGGAGGAGAGGAGGGAGAGAGGGGGAGGAGAGAGGAGAGGGAGGAGTAGAAGGGAGATAGCGAGGAGAGAGAGAGGATGGAGAGATAGGAGAGAGAGAGAAAGAGAGAGAGAGAGAGAGAGAGGGATAGGAGAGGGAGAGAGAGAGGGAGAAAGGGGGATAGGAGAGAGAGGGAGAGAGGGAGAGAGGAGAGGGAGAGAGAGAAAAAAGAGAGAGAGAAGCAGAGCAGTCGATGCTGTAGGAGAGTAGCAGAATGACTGATCTGTCATGGTGTTATCGATTCTAAAATATATGGGCCTGTAGATCACTGGGGATGACAGGAAAGAGGGAAGGAACCCAAAAGGAGAAATTAAGGCACAAGTAACATGTTTTTTCACAAAAACAGTCAGGATAGGAAGGCTGCTGATGCGTTGCGTAAGATTTCTTAGACAGTTGCTGCTGGTTTAATGTAATTTCAGTGGTAGTGAATGGTTGGCTCAGGTGGTCTATTACACTGGGGTAAATCAGATATTCTGCTCCTATGTGGAATTAGTGTCAATATTCGGAGAATGCAATGCTCTGCCAGTAACTCCATGATGAGGGTACTGAAGGGCCATTTAAACAGGGCTCGAATCGAGAAGGAAAGTTCACAGCATCACAGTATTGCGAGCTGTAGCGGAAAACATGATTAAATATTTTGGTGATTACATTATGTTATGTGAACAGTATATTCATTTTAATAGTTTTAGCTTGAATCAAAAGTGTTATAATCATTTATCATGACTCTAAAGTAAAATCTTAAAAGAGATTTATATGCTGGTTTGTTTGGCCCATTCATTCCAGAATGGACAGACAGAGGTATTTTTCTTCACACCTCTCATGGCCAGATCCTCAGTGAACAATGTCAGCATTGTGCCGTGGCGTCCGGGGGTCTTTTTCTTTCTCTTTGCTCTGCTCTCATTACTAACTTCATCAGTGAATGATTGTTTTACACACGTGTTTGCCTGTCCGTAACACCTCCTCTGGACATATAAACATGTCAAGTCAAATATTCAATTTATTGACGTAAGAAACACATAAATGGCCACGCAATGGGCTTGGTTAGATTTACTGTTTCATTGTAAAATCATTAATCTACACCAGATGAGAATGTGTAGCTTTAGTCATTGAGTAGAGTATTTGTACTGAGATATCAGATAAATACATTATGGTTCTGTGGTGGTGTTTGTGTTTTGTTAAGGAAACCACACCCATCAGGGATATTCACCGAATGGGAATACATTGGTTCCCTGCATTATCTTACCAGTGAATAATGGGCTTCCCTCCACTGGTAATTTTGTCATTAGTTGTGATTTATTTGTGGAAAGGACTTGAATGGAGTGGAAGCCCCTAGAGTGGCTTTACTAACAACCCATGGAAACGGACTAGAATGGAGTGGAAAATAAGTTTTAAGTAAAAAATAGATAAGTAAAAAATAAAATAATAAAATAATTAAAGCAGCAGTAAAATAAAATAACATTAGGGAGGATTTATACAGGAGGTACCAATACAGAGTCAATGTGCGGGGGCACCGGTTAGTCGAGTGAGGGTGTGTTTAGGGAGTGAGGGTGTGTGTGAGGGTGTGTATCTTTATGTGTGTGTGCTGAATACGGTCTTGTGTAGGTGTGTGGGGGTGTGTGCATGCGTGTATGCACGTGTGTGTGTGTGTGTGTGTGTGTGCGCGTGTTGTGTGCATGCGATTGCGTGTGCTTGTGTGTGTGAGAGATACAGTGATTCCTCGTTGGTCCGACACACGGTTACATTCTTCCTCTAGGACCTTTTGAAGTGAGCCTTATCTGCATTTGAAAGCCTGTGATAAGTGGGGGAGGGGGGAGGGGAGGGTCATGACAGCGTTTATGTTTCCGTGGGAGCCGTTGAGGCAGACAGATTAGATAAGGTGGCTGATTGGCTGGGGAAGATTTATGGCCAGAGTGTGACAGTTAACATTCACCTTGTGGTTTTATGGCATGGTGTTCCATATGCAAGGCCATACCCTTAAAGGTTGGAGAGGGGGTGTGCGATGTTGCTGGTCCTCAGGAGACTCTAAAACCTCATTAGTCAAGAGATAGAGGAGAGGAGAGGAGAGGAGAGGAGAGGAGAGGAGAGGAGAGGAGAGGAGAGGAGAGGAGAGGAGAGGAGAGGAGAGGAGAGGAGAGGAGAGGAGAGGAGAGGAGAGGAGAGGAGAGGAGAGGAGAGGAGAGGCTCACCTTCATCTTCTTTAAACCTGGTTGGAGAATAAACACTTTTCAATATCTGTTTTGTTTTTCTTCAAATGATGTATTTGTTTAGTTGTTCATGTTTCTTTTTAATATGTGCTCTTGAGGAACAAGGGTAAACACAGACTCTTTGAACAACGTCATGCAGAGAGTGCCGTTGAAAAGTGTATGGATGTACTACATGTTTATTGTTGCTATTCATTGGTTGTCTGCATTATTTAGACATATGTAATGAGTCACCGATGTGCTCACTGGACTGGCCACACATGTCTCATATTCATTCAGTGACAATGACATTATTATTTTTGCCCATGGAAAATCATTTAGTTGCCTTCCTTCCTAATCATGTTATTGTATTTCATGGTTATGATTTACTTATTCATCTCTTGCCTTGTGTGTTGTTCTGTCGTCTTTCTGTTTCCTTTCAGTCGTGTCTGGTAAGTTGAAATGTCACCTGTCACCTATTCACCCTGACGCCATGACAGAGACAGGAAGCTGTCACAGCACCACCCCCTCCATCCTCCTCCCATCACCCTCCACCCACCAATCAGCACTCATGTTTCAGTTGTCACGGGCAACAGTGACAAAAGGACATTAATGGGTAAAAATCTGCTCTATGGCCTGAGTAATCCAAGGTAAAACCAAAACATTTCATTATATTATTTCCCCATCCCTCTTGTTGTGTTACTTTATGCATTACCAAATATCCCATCTTACCCGTGGACAAATTGTGTCTGTATGTGGAGTGACAGGCTGCAGATTGCTTTTATGTATGTATTACCTGGCCCGTATCAGCGTTAAGATGTCTGGGGCGTAGTAATACTGTATTCTCCAGGCGTACGTACCTGCTGTCCTCGGAGATGAAGGTGTAAATCGGCCAGCCGCTAGCCTTCAGTATTCAGGCTGTGTCCCTCCACACAGACCTATTAGCACAGCGAGGCCCAGTGTCACTTCAGAGCTGTGTGTGTGACATTGGGCGGTGACACAGCGCTTCACTTTGAAATGGAGTTTGTCATTAAGATGCATGGACGCTGCATCCTGGCTGGGCCTGGACCGGGACGCTCCTATTGGAGGGTGTCAGCCTGGACAGATGGCTCATTTATCCCCCATTTCCATGTAAATGTTTTTCGTTTGTGTCCTTGCCCATGCTAATGCAGACCCACGGGGTTCACACTCCTGTTTTCTCTATTCATTAAACTGTTAATATATACAGGACACAGCCTGCATTACGGAATGGACTGACTTTCAGTTTTGAATAATCTTCCGTCCATGCACCAGCAACGCCCAACGTCTACTCTGAACAGAGACAGCCTGAAACCTTAACCAAGGCTCATTTGAATACAGAGCCCATAACTGTTACATTCAAATTCCTTTGTTTTCCATTCAAATGAGCCAGACCAGGCTATTAACTGTAATGTCTGATATCTCTGTCAGATGTTGTGTGATGCCGTGTCAGTATGTTAGCTAACTGTCCCCCTGCCTGTCCCCTAGTGCCCCCTGTGTTTGTGGTGCGGCCCAGGAACCAGGTGGTGGCGGTGGGGAGGACTGTCACCTTCCAGTGTGAGGCCACAGGAAACCCCCAACCTGCTATCTTCTGGCAGAGAGAGGGCAGCCAGGTGAGTGGGTGTGGGGGACTTTCAGTACACGAGGAGCCCAACATGAGCACATGTTGAGGAATGCTGATAGAACAAAAATAAAATACAAATAAGTAGTAAATCATAGTCAAATAATAGTCTTCATTCTTTAAAAAAAATGATATTCCTATATGATTTATATACATTTTATGATTACACCTATAAAACCAGCCATAAAATCAGTGAACATCACTGACCTTCACACAGATGCTTCAATTGGACTGTTCCATTCTACCACCTTTATGGTCTTCCATAGCCTACTGTCTATATCTGATCTGTCTCTGTTTATATCTGTCCTGTCTTCTCTCTTCTCTGTCTATATCTGTCCTGTCTTCTCTCTTCTCTGTCTATATCTGTCCTGTCTTCTCTCTTCTCTGTCTATATCTGTCCTGTCTTCTCTCTTCTCTGTCTATATCTGTCCTGTCTTCTCTCTTCTCTGTCTATATCTGTCCTGTCTTCTCTCTTCTCTGTCTATATCTGTCCTGTCTTCTCTCTTCTCTGTCTATATCTGTCCTGTCTTCTCTCTTCTCTGTCTATATCTGTCCTGTCTTCTCTCTTCTCTGTCTATATCTGTCCTGTCTTCTCTCTTCTCTGTCTATATCTGTCCTGTCTTCTCTCTTCTCTGTCTATATCTGTCCTGTCTTCTCTCTTCTCTGTCTATATCTGTCCTGTCTTCTCTCTTCTCTGTCTATATCTGTCCTGTCTTCTCTCTTCTCTGTCTATATCTGTCCTGTCTTCTCTCTTCTCTGTCTATATCTGTACTGTCTTATCTCTTCTCTGTCTTTATCTGTCCTGTCTTCTGTCCTCTCCCTCCTCTAGAACCTGCTCTTCTCCTACCAGCCCCCCCAGCCGTCTAGCCGCGTCTCCGTCTCCCAGACGGGGGACCTGACTATCACAGATGCAGAGCGCTCAGACATGGGCTACTACAGCTGCCAGGCCCTCAACATCGCTGGCTCTGTCATCACCAAGGCCCTGCTGGAGGTCACTGACGGTGAGTGACGACCCAGAGAGCCAATCACAGGGAACAGTGAGGCTTCAGAGGGAGAAGTTCTGCCAATCAGGGACTCCCAGAATTAGACATATTGGTGGTATTGTCACACCTTGGCACATAGACATGTAGGGATTTGAATAAACACATAATAATATACTTGTGCTATATTTAAGTGTCTAATGTACGTATTGAGGTCTGTAGAGTTTTGGCCAGACTGTGCTCCTGTCAGAGGTGGAGGCTCTGTGGTGCCTCGTCTTCTCCAGGAGCCTGGCTTGCCTCTTGGCTCTGGGCTGTTGGCTCCTAGCAGTGTAGCATTCAAGCTGGCTGGTGCCTCCTCTGGGAGACTCCTCTCATTAACAGACTAGCCTGCTGGTGGAGTCTGGTGTCTTCGTGGTGAGGCCTGGTTCAGACCTCTAATCACTCTCAGTCAATGCAACCAGCCTGGTAGTGTAGGGACCTTGGCTATAGTCCCAGCGTTCCCATAGCGACTTACTCAGTCTCTCTGGTGACTATTATTTTGTCTAACTCTCACTTAGATTCAATCCTCTCTAACCAGATACCCCTCACCTAGATTAAACTCTCTCTAACCAGTTACACATCACCTAGATTCAACTCTCTCTAACCAGAAACCCTCACCTAGATTCAACTCTCTCTAACCAGAAACCCTCACCTAGATTCAACTCTCTCTAACCAGATACCTCTCACCTAGATTCAAACCTCTCTTACCAGATACCTCTCACCTAGATTCAAACATCTCTAACCAGATACCTCTCACCTAGATTAAAACCTCTCTTACCAGATACCTCTCACCTAGATTCAAACCTCTCTTACCAGATTGCACCTCTTTATTTAGAACCTCCTCCCTTAACATTTGTGGCTGGCCTGCTACTCTATCCCATGGCTAGTAGATAATATGAATGCAGTAGAGAAATAAACTTCTCATAGATCGAGAGCGAAGGCAGAGTTTGAGAGGATCTATCGAGCTCTAGATATCTTCTCTATGATGGAGAGAGTATAGATGATATCCTATCTACTAATCTCTCATAAGATCACCTACTCTATCTCCTCATCCCTCTCTCCCCTCTCTCCCTCTCTCCCCCTCTCTCTCCCTCTCTCCCCCTCTCTCTCCCTCTCTCTGTGGTGTGGCAGGGCCTGGTAGATGGTAGAAGATAATAACAGTTATTAAAGGGAGGTGGCCTCCTCTTCTCTTCGGGCAGATCTGGTAATGTTTTAGTAATTACACCAGCACCAAAGCAAAGAGCCAGTCTCCCATGTAATATACTACACTGGTGTGTGTGTAAATATACAGGCGTACGTGTGTCCTACACAAGTATAGGTCCAAAAGGCTTCTTAACAGCTTCTACCCCAAAGCCATAAGACTCCTGAACAGTTAATCAAATGGCTGCCCGGACTATTTGCATTCCCCCCCTCTTTTACGCTTGTCACGCCCTGGCTCTGGGACTCTGTTATGTTGAGCCAGGGTGTGTTGTGTCTATGTGTTTTGTGTGCTAGGGTGATGATCTAGTTATTTTGTTTCTATGTTGGCCGGTGTGGTTCTCAATCAGAGGCAACGTGAATCAGCTGTTGCTTGTGGTCTCTGATTGGGAACCATACTTAGGCAGCCTGTTTTCCACAGTGTTTTGTGGGATCTTGTTCCGTATGGTTTGTATTGTGACCAAGGACTTCACGTTTCGTATCGTTTGTTGTTTTGTTCGTGTGATCATTCAAATTAAAAGTATGTTTGCATTCCACGCTGCGCCTTGGTCCTCTGTGTATGACGATCTTGACAGAAGATCCCACCATAACTGGACCAAGCAGCGTGTCCAGGAGCCAACGCCAGAGAGGGCTCTAAAGGACATCAACCTCGACTGGGTCAAGCCGCGGGAGGAGGAGAGAGGCTGGACTTGGGAGCAGAGGAGCAAGAGTCTGGCGAGAGCCATGGAGGCCTGGCCCACGGGGAGGAGAGACGCCCAGAAAATTTTTAGGGGGGGGGCTCACGCCGTGGACGACGGGGCAACGGGAGGCAGCCAGGTTACGGGAGTCACTGGTCACCAGGGGGAAGGAGGATGTAGAGGCACGGCGAGAGGTACTGGGGTGTGTTGCCAGTCCGGTCCGGCCCGTTCCTGATCCCCGCGTAGGGCCAGTGGTGTGTGTCCCCAGTACGGTCCGGCTTGTTCCTGTCCCTCGCACCGAGCCTGTGGTGCGCATCTCCAGCCCGGTCCGGCATGTTCCTGCCCCTCGCACCAAGCCTGTGGTGCGCGTCGCCAGCCCGGTCCGGCCTGTTCCTGCCCCTCGCACCAAGCCATTGGTGCGCGTCGCCAGCCCGGTCCGGCATGTTCCTGCCCCTCGCACCAAGCCTGTGGTGCGCGTCGCCAGCCCGGTCCGGCCTGTTCCTGCCCCTCGCACCAAGCCAGTGGTGCGCGTCGCCAGCCCGGTCCGGCCTGTTCCTGCTCCCCGCACCAAGCCAGTGGTGCGCTTCGTCACCCCGGTTCGGCCCGTCCCTGCTCCCCGCACCAAGCCAATGGTGCGCGTCGTCAGCCCAGTTCGGCCCGTCCCTGCTCCCCGCACCAAGCCAATGGTGCGCGTCGTCAGCCCGGTCCGGCCTGTTCCTGCTCCCCGCACCAAGCCAGTGGTGCACTTCGTCAGCCCGGTTCGGCCCGTCCCTGCTCCCCGCACCAGGCCAATGGTGCGCGTCGTCAGCCCGGTCCGGCCTGTTCCTGCTCCCCGCACCAAGCCAGTGCTGCGCTTCGTCAGCCCGGATCGGCCCGTCCCTGCTCCCCGCACCAAGCCTGTGGTGCGCGTTGTCAGTCCGGCACAGCCCGTGCCTGTTCCACCGGTGCCTGGTCCGGCACCGGTCAGCTGCTCCACTCCGGAGCTAGAGCAATCCGCTCCACCAGTGTTCAGTCCAGCTGCGGCCAGCAGGGCCAGACTGGTCCAGGGGCGCTTTGGGGGGTTAGAGGTCATGCCCGGAGCTGGAACCGCCTCCGAGGAGGAATGCCCACCCGGCCCTCCCCTGTTCGGTTTATGTTTGGGGCGGTCGCAGTCCGCGCCTTTGGGGGGGGGGGGGGGGGGGGGGGTACTGTCACGCCCTGGCTCTGGGACTCTGTTATGTTGAGCCAGGGTGTGTTGTGTCTATGTGTTTTGTGTGCTAGGGTGATGATCTAGTTATTTTGTTTCTATGTTGGCCGGTGTGGTTCTCAATCAGAGGCAACGTGAATCAGCTGTTGCTTGTTGTCTCTGATTGGGAACCATACTTAGGCAGCCTGTTTTCCACAGTGTTTTGTGGGATCTTGTTCCGTATGGTTTGTATTGTGACCAAGGACTTCACGTTTCGTATCGTTTGTTGTTTTGTTCGTGTGATCATTCAAATTAAAAGTATGTTCGCATTCCACGCTGCGCCTTGGTCCTCTGTGTATGACGATCGTGACAACGCTGCTACTACTCTGTTTATTATCTATGCACAGTCACTTTAACTCTACCTACAGTGGCTTACGAAAGTATTCACCCCCCTTGGCATTTTTCCTATTTTGTTGCCTTACAACCTGGAATTAAAACAGATTTTTGGAGATGCAAAAATATTTTTTATTGTGAAACAAACAAGAAATAAGACAAAAAAACAGAAAACTGGAGCGTGCATAACTATTCACTCCCCCCCCCAAAGTCAATAATTTGTAGAGCCATCTTTTGCAGCAATTACAGCTGCATGTCTTTTGGGGTATGTCTCTATAAGCTTGGCACATCTAGCCACTGGGATTTTTGCCCATTCTTCAAGGCAGAACTGCTCCAGCTCCTTCAAGTTGGATTGGTTCCGCTGGTGTACAGCAATCTTTAAGTCATACCACAGATTCTCAATTGGATTGAGGTTTAGGCTTTGACTAGGCCATTCCAAGACATTTAAATGTTTCCCCTTAAACCACTCGAGTGTTGCTTTAGCAGTATGCTTAGTGTCATTGTTCTGCTAGACGGTGAACCTCGGTCCCAGTCTCAAATCTCTGGAAGACTAAAACAGGTTTCCCTCAAGAATTTCTCTTTATTTAGCACTGTCCATCATTCCTTCAATTCTGACCAGTTTCCCAGTCCCTGCTGATGAAAAACATACCCACAGCATGATGCTGCCACCACCATGCTTCACTGTGGGGATGGTGTTCTCGGGGTGATGAGAGGTGTTGGGTTTGCACCATACATAGCGTTTTCCTTGATGGCCAAAAAGCTCAATTTTTGTCTCATCTGACCAGAGTACCTTCTTCCATATGTTTGGGGAGTCTCCCACATGCCTTTTGGCGAACACCAAACATGTTTGCTTATTTTTTTCTTTAAGCAATGGCTTTTTTCTGGCCACTCTTCCGTAAAGCCCAGCTCTGTGGAGTGTATGGCTTAAAGTGGTCCTATGGACAGATACTCCAATCTCCGCTGTGGAGCTTCGCAGCTCCTTCAGGGTTATCTTTGGTCTCTTTGTTGCCTCTCTGATTAATGCCCTCCTTGCCTGGTCCGTGAGTTTTGGTGGGCGGCCCTCTCTTGGCAGGTTTGTTGTGGTGCCATATTGTTTCCATTTTTTAATAATGGATTTAATGTTGCTCTGTGGGATTTTTTTTATAACCAACCCTGATCTGTACTTCTCCACAACTTTGTCCCTGACCTGTTTGGAGAGCTCCTTGGTCTTCATGGTGCCGCTTGCTTGGTGGTGCCCCTTGCTTAGTGGTGTTGCAGACTCTGGGGCCTTTCAGAACAGGTGTATATATTCTGAGATCATGTGACACTTAGATTGCACACAGGTGGACTTTATTTAACTAATTATGTGACTTCTGAAGGTAATTGGTTGCACCAGATCTTATTTAGGGGCTTCATAGTAAAGGGGGTGAATACATATGCACGCACCACTTTTCCATTATTCATTTTTCAGAATTCTTTGAAACAAGTAATTTTTTTTCATTTCACTTCATCAATTTGAACTATTTTGTGTATGTCCATTACATGAAATCCAAATAAAAATCAATTTCAATGACAGGTTGTAATGCAACAAAATAGGAAAACCGCCAAGGGGGATGAATGCTTCTGCAAGGTACTGTACACATTATGTAGATGAAGCACGTTTAATTAAATCTGTGTTTGTTGACTTGTGAACGCCCAGAGAGAGGGGGGTGAGGAGGAGGATGAGGAGGAGAGGGGACAGAGGAGGAGGGAGGGAAAATTCTTCATGGTAATAACTTTGTCTGCTAGGTATTTTCAACCGTTTTCTCCCATGTTCTGTGTTTTATAGACTGGGGGTGTGGTTTCAGGAGGGAGAGGGTGGGGTGAGGGTTATAGATTGGGGGTTGGGTTTCAGGAGGTGAAGGGGTGATGGGTGAGGGGGGACGTTGGTTGGCTGTGAGTGTTCATGTTTCCACTGGCAGCCAGGGGTCTGGAGCTGCAGAAAAAGGACTTGTATCTTAGCCTGTTTTATTTTAATTACACTACATTTGTTTGGCTACGGTCAACTCCTGCTGCTGAATGATTGGAAAATTGTTTCCAGTTGTGAAAATTGGATTTCATTCTCTCTGTCTGTCTACCTTCGCTACCTTCGCTCTCTTCAAATACCACACAGCTACCTTGTGTTTGGGAGTTCAATATAGCTCTTTTTTTATGCTCTTTCGCTCATCGTATACTATATATACATATACAGTGGGGAGAACAAGTATTTGATACACTGCCGATTTTGCAGGTTTTCGTACTTACAAAGCATGTAGAGGTCTGTAATTTTTATCATAGGTACACTTCAACTGTGAGAGATGGAATCTAAAACAAAAATCCAGAAAATCACATTGTATGATTTTTAAGTAATTAATTTGCATTTTATTGCATGACAGAAGTATTTGATACATCAGAAAAGCATAACTTAATATTTGGTACAGAAACCTTTGTTTGCAATTACAGAGATCATACGTTTCCTGAAGGTCTTGACCAGGTTTGCACACACTGCAGCAGGGATTTTGGCCCACTCCTCCATACAGACCATCTCCAAATCCTTCAGGTTTCGGGGCTGTTGCTTGGCAATACGGACTTTCAGCTCCCTCCAAAGATTTTCTATTGGGTTCAGGTCTGGAGACTGGCTAGGCCACTCCAGGACCTTGAGATGCATCTTACGGAGCCACTCCTTAGTTGCCCTGGCTGTGTGTTTCGGGTCGTTGTCATGCTGGAAGACCCAGCCACGACCCATCTTCAATGCTCTTACTGAGGGAAGGAGGTTGTTGGCCAAGATCTCGCGATACATGGCCCCATCCATCCTCCCCTCAATACGGTGCAGTCGTCCTGTCCCCTTTGCAGAAAAGCATCCCCTAAGAATGATGTTTCCACCTCCATGCTTCAGGGTTAGGATGGTGTTCTTGGGGTTGTACTCATCCTTCTTCTTCCTCCAAACCCGGCGAGTGGAGGTTAGACCAAAAAGCTCTATTTTTGTCTCATCAGACCACATGACCTTCTCCCATTCCTCCTCTGGATCATCCAGATGGTCATTGGGAAACCTCAGATGGGCCTGGACATGCGCTGGCTTGAGCAGGGGGACCTTGCGTGCGCTGCAGGATTTTAATCCATGACGGCGTAGTGTGTTCCTAATGGTTTTCTTTGAGACTGTGGTCCCAGCTCTCTTCAGGTCATTGACCAGGTCCTGCCGTGTAGTTCTGGGCTGATCCCTCACCTTCCTCATAATCATTGATGCCCCACGAGGTGAGATCTTGCATGGAGCCCCAGACCGAGGATGATTGACCGTCATCTTGAACTTCTTCCATTTTCTAATAATTGCGCCAACAGTTGTTGCCTTCTCACCAAGCTGCTTGCCTATTGTCCTGTAGCCCATCCCAGCCTTGTGCAGGTCTACAATTATATCCCTGATGTCCTTACACAGCTCTCTGGTCTTGGCCATTGTGGAGAGGTTGGAGTCTGTTTGATTGAGTGTGTGGACAGGTGTCTTTTATACAGGTAACGAGTTCAAACAGGTGCAGTTAATACAGGTAATGAGTGGAGAACAGGAGGGCTTCTTAAAGAAAAACTAATTGGTCTGTGAGAGCCGGAATTCTTACTGGTTGGTAGGTGATCAAATACTTATGTCATGCAATAAAATGCAAATTAATTACTTAAAAATCATACAATGCGATTTTCTGGATTTTTGTTTTAGATTCCGTCTCTCACAGTTGAAGTGTACCTATGATAAAAATTACAGACCTCTACATGCTTTGTAAGTAGGAAATCCTGCAAAATCGGCAGTGTATCAAATACTTGTTCTCCCCACTGTATATATACAGTGGGGAGAACAAGTATTTGATACATTGCCGATTTAGCAGGTTTTCCTACTTACAAAGCATGTAGAGGTCTGTAAATTTTATCATAGGTACACTTCAACTGTGAGAGACGGAATCTAAAACATCCAGAAAATCACATTGTATGATTTTTAAGTAATTAATTTGCATTTTATTATATACTCAGTGAATGACATACAGAATAGAGAGCGGGAGAGAAGAGAGGAGAGAGAGAGAGAACTAAGGCTAGAGATAGAGATGTATATCACGATAGATCTGGACCGCGACGCAGTGTGAGAGAAGCTGATGAGTCAGAGAGACCATCATTCCGTATACATATCTTCTTCTACTCTCCCCCATCATCCTTCAGAGTACCTCTATCTCTCCTCGCACTCGCATCTTCGAAATACCCTAGTCATTGTTAACTATAACATTGAATGCATTGTCTAGAGAGATGAGTACGTCAGAGCAAGTAAGATGCAGGAAATGAGCATGAATGAAAAGAAAATCTTTAGAGTAATCACATGAGAGAGATAAGAAGAGAGATAGAGTAGAATAAGTAGAGGAGATCAATGAGGAAAGAGATGAGAAGGGAAGGAGTCGAGGAGATCAGAGGAGTGAGAGAGTACGCACGAGGACGAGGAAAGAAGCGGAACAAGTACGATAGGATAGAGCGAGCGCAGAGAGATACGGAGTAACTTCGATATCTCTCGCCTCACGTCTTTTCTCTTACGATCTTCCTCTCTCTACCTCTCCTCTCTCTCTTTTATTCAATTCAATTACAATTTCAATTCAATTCAATTCTAATTGCATGGGGACATGTTAAATGCGCAAAGCAGGAAATTCAAAAATCTTAAATTTTTTTTTGAAATTGGGGGAAAAACTTTTTTGGGATTTAATTAATTAATTCCATTAGATTTGCTCCCTTTATTACAAAGCATTTAAATTAATTATGGGAACTAAATTGAAAGGAATCTAACTCAAGAAAAATGTATGTATAAGTATAAATTTGCTTTTTAAATCAAAGTAAAAGGTCAAGAAAAAGGGAGAGCGGGAGTAGGAGGAGAAAGAAAGAGATAGAGAGTGGGGAGAAAAATTTTGGGAATAATGGATATTATTGGAGAAAATTTAGAATTTTAATGTATATAGAGTTATATTATATTAGTATATATATTATAGTATAGAGCGATAATAGCTAGCTATCCGATAGTATCATAGAGGAGATTATCTGTTGATATCTATGCCATCTAGAGTAATCTGCTATCTATATATCATCTCTCTTCTCCGTCTCTCTCATCGCTTCTATCTACCTCTCTATCTCTCTCGGCTCCCTCTTCCTTTCTCTTCTCTCTCTCTCTCTTCTCTCTCTCTCTCTCTCTCTCTCTCTTCTCTCTCTCTCTCTCTCTATCAATTCAATTCAATTTCAATTCAATTCAAGGGGCTTTATTGGCATGGGAAACATATGTTAACATTGCCAAAGCAAGTGAAATAGACAATAACATTTTTACAGTAAACATTACACTCAGCAGTTCCAAAAGAATAAAGACATTTCAAATGTCATATTGTGTATATATACAGTGTGGTAATGATGTTCAAATAGTTAAAGTACAAAAGGGAAAATAAATAAACATAAATATAGGTTGTATTTACAATGGTGTTTGTTCTTCACTGGTTGCCCTTTTCTTGTGGCAACAGGTCACAAATCTTGCTGCTGTGATGACACACTGTGGTATTTCACCCAATAGATATGGGAGTTTATCCAAATTGGATTTGTTTTCTAATTCTTTGTGGGTCTGTGTAATCTGAGGGAAATATGTGTCTCTAATATGGTCATACATTTGGCAGGAGGTTAGGAAGTGTAGCTCAGTTTCCACCTCATTTTTGTGCACTTAGCCTGTCTTCTCTTGAGAGCCAGGTCTGCCTACGGCGGCCTTTCTCAGTAGCAAGGCTATGCTCACTGAGTCAAAACATAGTCAAAGCTTTCCTTAATTTTGGGTCAGTCACATTGGTTAGGTATTCTGCCACTGTGTACTCTCTGTTTAGGGCCAAATAGCACTCTAGTTTGCTCGGTTTTTTGCTTAATTCTTTCCAATGTGTCAAGTAATTATCTTTTAGTTTTCTCATGATTTGGTTTGGTCTAATTGTGTTGCTGTCCTGGAGTTATGTGGGGTCTTTTTGTGTTTGTGAACAGAGCCCCATGACCAGCTTGCCTTGGGGGACTCTTCTCCAGGTTAATCTCTCTGTAGGTGATGGCTTTGTTATGGAAGGTTTGGGGATCGCTTCCTTTAACGGCTCTTTTCTGGATTTTGATAATTAGCGGGTATCAGCCTAATTCTGCTCTACATGCATTATTTGGTGTTTTACGTTGTACACAAAGGATAATTTTGCAGAATTCTGCATGCAGAGTCTCAATTTGGTGTTTGTCCCATTTTGTGAATTCTTGGTTGGTGAGCGGACCCCAGACCTCACAACCATAAAGGGCAATGGGTTCTATATCTGATTCAAGTATTTTTAGCCAGATCCTAATTGGTATGTCACATTTTATGTTCCTTTTGATGGCATAGAGGCCCTTCTTACCTTATCTCTCAGATCGTTCACAGCTTTGTGGAAGTTACCTGTGGCGCTGATGTTTAGGCCGAGGTATGTATAGTTTTTTGTGTGCTCTAGGGCAACAGTGTCTAGATGGAATTTGTATTTGTGGTCCTGGCAACTGGACATTTTTTGGAGCACCATTATTTTTGTCTTACTGAGATTTATTATCAGGGCCCAGGTCTGAATCTGTGCAGAAGATCTAGGTGCTGCTGTAGGCCCTCCTTGGTTGGGGATAGAAGCACCAGATCATCAGCAAACAGAAGACATTTGACTTCAGATTCTAGTAGGGTGAGGCCGGGTGCTGCAGACTGTTCTAGTGCCATCACCAATTCGTTGATATATATATGTTGAAGAGGGTGGGGTTTAAGCTGCATCCCTGTGTCTCCCCACGGCCCTGTGGAAAGAAATATGTGTGTTTTTTGCCAATTTTTCCGCACACTTGTTGTCTGTGTACATGGATTTTATAATGTTGTATGTTTTTCCCCCAACACCACTTTCCATCAATTTGTATAGCAGACCCTCATGCCAAATTGAGTCAAAAGCTTTTTTGAAATCAACAAAGCATGAGAAGACTTTGCCTTTGTTTTGGTTTGTTTTTTTGTCAATTAGGGTGTGCAGGGTGAATACGTGGTCTGTCGTACGGTAATTTGGTAGAAAGCCAATTTGACATTTGCTCAGTACATTGTTTTCACTGAGGAAATGTACGAGTCTGCTGTTAATGATAATGCAGAGGATTTTCCCAAGGTTGCTGTTGACGCATATATATCCCACGGTAGTTATTGGTGTGAAATTTGTCTCCACTTTTGTGGATTGGGGTGATCAGTCCTTGGTTCCAAATATTGGGGAAGATGCCAGAGCTAAGGATAATTTTAATGAGTTTAAGTATAGCCAATTGGAATTTGTGGTCTGTATATTTTATCATTTCATTGAGGATACCATCAACAACAGGCCTTTTTGGGTTGGAGTGTTTGTATTTTGTCCTGTAGTTCATTCAATGTAATTGGATAATCCAGTGGGTTCTTTAATAGTTGATTCTAAGATTTGCATTTGATCATGTATATGTTGTTGCTCTTTGTTCTTTGTTATAGGGCCAAAAAGATTGGAGAAGTGGTTTATCCATACATCTCCGTTTTGGATAGATAACTCTTTGTGTTGTTGTTTTAGTGTTTTCCAATTTTCTCAGAAGTGGTTAGAGTCTATGGATTCTTCAATTACATTGAGCTGATTTCTGACGTGCTGTTCCTTCTTTTTCCGTAGTGTATTTCTGTATTGTTTTAGTGATTCACCACAGTGAAGGTGTAGGCTCAGGTTTTCTGGGTCTCTATGTTTTTGGTTGGATAGGTTTCTCAATTTCTTTCTTGTGTTTTTGCATTCTTCATCAAACCATTTGTCATTGTTGTTAATTTTCTTCGGTTTTCTGTTTGACATTTTTAGATTTGATGGAGAAGCTGAGAGGTCAAATATACTGTTTAGGTTTTCTACTGCCAAGTTTACACCTTCACTATTACAGTGAAACGTTTTGTCCAGGAAGTTGTCTAAAAGAGATTGAATTTGTTGTTGCCTAATTGTTTTTTGGTAGGTTTCCACAGTACTTTCCTTCCATCTATAGCATATCTTAATATTATTCAGTTCTTTTGGCTTTGAGGCCTCATGATTTAGTACTGCTCTGTTCAAGTAGACTGTGATTTTGCTGTGATCTGATAGGGGTCTGAGAAAGTGTCTCGCTGGTCTGGGCGGGGTGTCTGTTGATCTGTTGCTCCTGTATGAGGTGTTGGGGCTGTGGTTGAGGGCGATGTCCGTTAGGGTCCGGGCGAAGGTGGGCACTGCTGCCTTGTATAAGTCTCTCTCTCCCTCTCTCTTTCTCTCTCTAGTTGTGTCGGATCGCCCACCTCCAGTTGTCCGCCAGGGTCCGACCAATCAGACAGTGTCTGTGGACGGGACGGTGGTCCTGAGTTGCCTAGCAACGGGCAACCCCACCCCCACCATCCTGTGGAGGAAGGACGGAGTGTTGGTGTCCACTCACGACTCTCGGGTCAAACAGCTGGACACGGGCGCACTGCAGATCCGCTACGCCAAGGTAACACACACACACACACACACTGACACACACACACACATTTACACACACTCAAACATATACATGCACACACACACACACACACACACACAAAGCAACTCTCATCTTCACTGTATGCACTGTATAAACACATGGAAGCTTTTCTCTCCAAGCTTTTCAAAGCACATAAACATAAAACAATTTATTGATTTATCTCTCTGGTTCGGAGTATTAGTATTGAGAAAATACATCAAACTGCAGGCGGACTGTGTATGAAAGCCTTTGTACTATAGAACTGTATGATCTACTGAGCAACATATAGGGCTACTGTAGTGCACCAGCACAAATTGAATATCTTACTGAGGCAGTTGGCTTTCAAACCATATGCCCCATTATGCTAATATATGGAAATAAGAACATAACTGAATGGAATTATCTTTCTCTTTGTAGAACAGTATGACTGTCTGAAGACTTCCAAATTGACCTCCGTTACATGTTTACATTTCCAATCAACCTCTTCCATTAGCCGAGACATTAATATTGCATTCCCCCAGAATCAACTTCACAGCTGTCCTGTATCCTGTCTATACGGCAGAGTGACTGGCTGGCTGGCTGGCAGAATAACTCCCGCTGCTCGATCAGCTGTCAGTGGTTTGAAGTGGAGTCTGTGAAGTCACACACACTCTTGTCCTGTCACTCAATCCTCAGAGTGTAACGGGGAGCTGTGTGATGCAGAACACACTCTCAGGGAGACACGAGCGGGGTGCCGACGCATTCTCCAGATGGAGGCGTCAAGGGGTCAGAGTTCTCGTCAGACTGTTGCGGTGTGTGTGTGTGTGTGTGCGCGTGAGTTTGTGTTGTGATGACTGCAGGCGTGTTGTGTGTGGTGACAGGGCTGTGGTGAATGGGCAACACTGTGAGAACAGTGTGATGTGTTTTCAACCGAAACCTTACCTAAAGTAATTTACATGTCATTTATGTTTGGCGGTAACACACCGTGTCTTTGATGTGTGTGTTTTTTAAACTTTAGTAATGCTATTAGTTTTGTGATGAGGTTTTAGTGTATTTTTAAGAGTTGGATGGTTTGTCTTACCTGTCAGGTTGAACTTAGATGGACCCTACCTGGAGGCTGATCTACAGGGACACGCCCTCTCTCACACACTGAGACACACACTCCCTCTCTCACACACTGAGACACACACTCCCTCTCTAGAGAGTGTCACCGCATCTGTTCTGTAAAGCAGTCCTTTCCCTGGGGGGAGGGTGAGAGGAGGGATGAGGGATGAGGAGAGGAGAGGAGAGGAGAGGAGAGGAGAGGAGAGGAGAGGAGAGGAGAGGAGAGGAGAGGAGAGGAGAGGAGAGGAGAGGAGAGGAGAGGAGAGGAGAGGAGAGGAGAGGAGAGGAGAGGAGAGGAGAGGAGAGGAGAGGAGGTCTGCAATTAGTCTGTGCTCCTGTGAAAATCTTTCCAATTTGACTGGTACAATCCTGCCACTTGGCCTTCCCAGCTGCTTTTCCACTTTCTAGAGGGAGAGATGATAGTGAGATTACCAGGCACTGACGGCTGGCTGCTAGGGACCACACCAGCATGTCAATGAGCAGAGAGGAGCGGAGAGAGAGAGAAATAGAGAAGCAGCACTATTTTAGTCAAATTCCACTGATGGCAGACCATGACCAGACAGTACTTTGTCATTTGCATTTTAACCCAGAGCGATCACAAACCTAATCCCTCTCTCCCCTCTATTTCCTGTTCTATTTTCTTCTGTCTTTCAGCTGGGTGACACAGGCATGTACACATGCATCGCCTCCACTCCCAGTGGCGAGGCCTCGTGGAAGGCCTACCTGGAGGTTCAAGGTAAGCCAACAGCTGCCTGCTGTCGCTGTCACTGTGGCTACACTCCATATCGAGATTGAATTAAATACATTCAGTGTGTAATTGTTTTCTTTTGTTGGAATTTCACAATCTTGGCACCACCACAGGGAGTGTACGTGTGAAGGTGTGCGTGAGTCTGTGTGTGTCTGAATGTGCTTGGTATGCATTCATGTGAGAGACATGTCCATAGTCTGGCATTACTGATAAAGTATTCATTTAGATTTTTTGAAAACTGTCATGTCTCATGATACCCTCCTCTCCCTCCCCATGTTCAGAGTTTGGTGTTCCAGTGCAGCCGGCAAGACCCACTGACCCCAACCTGATCCCCAGCGCCCCCTCCAAACCTGAGGTCACTGACGTCACTCGCACCTCTGTCACCCTGTCCTGGAAGCCCAACGTCACAGGAGCCACACCCACCTCCTACATCATAGAGGCCTTCAGGTAATAGGAGGTCGCTTGTGACCAAAGTAAATAAAGTGATGTCACAGTGTATTTGCATTTATTAAGGACCCCCATTAGTTCCTGCCAAGGCAGCAGCTATTCCTCCTGGGGTCCAGCAAAATTAAGGCAGTTAAATCAAATCAAATCAAATCAAATTTTATTTGCCATATGCACCGAATACAACAGGTGTAGACATTACCGTAAAATGCTTACTTACAGCCCTTAACCAACAATGCATTTATTTTAAATAAAAAAGTAAAATAAAACAACAACAAAAAAGTGTTTAGAAAAAAAGAGCAGAAGTAAAATTAAATAACAGTAGGGAGGCTATATACAGGGGGGTACCGGTGCAGAGTCAATGTGCGGGGGCACCGGCTAGTTGAGGTAGTTGAGGTAATATGTACATGTGGGTAGAGTTAAAGTGACAATGCATAAATAATTAACAGAGTAGCAGCAGCGTAAAAATATGGGGTGGGTGTGGGGGGGCAGTGCAAGTAGTCCGGGTAGCCATGATTAGCTGTTCAGGAGTCTTATGGCTTGTGGGTAGAAGCTGTTGAGAAGCCTTTTGGACCTAGACTTGGCGCTCTGGTACCGCTTGCCGTGTGGTAGCAGAGAGAACAGTCTATGACTAGGGTGGATGGAGTCTTTGACAATTTTGAGGGCCTTCCTCTGACACCGCCTGGTATAGAGGTCCTGGATGGCAGGAAGCTTGGCCCCAGTGATGTACTGGGCCGTACGCACTACCCTCTGTATTGCCTTGCGGTCGGAGGCCGAGCAGTTGCCATACCAGGCGGTGATACAACCAGTCAGGATGCTCTCGATGGTGCAGCTGTATAACTTTTTGAGGATCTGAGGACCCATGCCAAATCTTTTCAGTCTCCTGAAGGGGAATAGGGTTTGTCGTGCCCTCTTCACGACTGTCTTGGTGTGTTTGGACCATGATAGTTCGTTGGTAATGTGGACACCAAGGAACTTGAAGCTCTCAACCTGTTCCACTACAGCCCTGTCGATGAGAATGGGGGCGAGCTCAGTCCTCTTTTTTTTCCTGTAGTCCACAATCATCTCCTTTGTCTTGGTCACGTTGAGGGAGAGGTTGTTATCCTGGCACCACACGGCCAGGTCTCTGACCTCCTCCTATAGGCTGTCTCATCGCTGTCGGTGATCAGGCCTACCACTGTTGTGTCGTCGGCAAACTTAATGATGGTGTTGGAGTCGTGCCTGGCCATGCAGTCATGGGTGAACAGGGAGTACAGGAGGGGACTGAGCACGCACCCCTGAGGGGCCCCCGTGTTGAGGATCAGCCTGGGGGCGGCCCGTCAGGATGTCCAGGATCCAGTTGCAGAGGGAGGTGTTTAGTCCCAGGATCCTTAGCTTAGTGATGAGCTTTGAGGGCACTATGGTGTTGAATGCTGAGCTGTAGTCAATGAATAGCATTCTCACGTAGGTGTTCCTCTTGTCCAGGTGGGAAAGGGCAGTGTGTAGTGCAATAGAGATTGCATCATCTGTGGATCTGTTGGGGCGGTATGCAAATTGGAGTGGGTCTAGGGTTTCTGGGATAATGGTGTTGATGTGAGCCATGACTAGCCAGTTATATACAATTAAAAACATTACATTACATTTCACAACAGATTTCACAACACATTAAATGTGTGCCCTCAGACCACTAATCTACTACCACAAATCTACAACGCCTACGCTCTGAGGGTGTGTATGAACTTTAAACCTGATGTGTAACATCCTGTTCTGCCTTCTCTCCTAGTCATGCGTCAGGCAGCAGCTGGCAGACCCTGGCAGAACATGTGAAGACTGAGTCGTATGTGTTGAAGGGCCTGAAGGCCAGTGCTGTCTACCTGTTCCTGGTCCGAGCTGCTAATGCCTACGGCCTGAGTGACCCCAGCCCCATAACTGACACCGTCAAAACACAAGGTGGGTCTCTGCTCTCTCTTAATGCCTTCAAATGGGAAACTTTAGGTCCCTGTCTGGACCTTGTCCCTGTCTGGACCTTGTCCTGTTTGGACCTTGTCCCTGCCTGGACCTTGTCCTGTTTGGACCTTGTCCTGTCTGGACCTTGTCCTGTCTGGACCTTGTCCCTGCCTGGACCTTGTCCTGTTTGGACCTTGTCCTGTCTGGACCTTGTCCTGTCTGGACCTTGTCCCTGCCTGGACCTTGTCCTGTTTGGACCTTGGCCTGTCTGGACCTTGTCCCTGCCTGGACCTTGTCCTGTCTGGACCTTGTCCCTGCCTGGACCTTGTCCCTGCCTGGACCTTGTCCTGTTTGGACCTTGTCCTGTCTGGACCTTGTCCCTGCCTGGACCTTGTCCTGTCTGGACCTTGTCCCTGCCTGGACCTTGTCCTGTTTGGACCTTGTCCTGTCTGGACCTTGTCCTGTCTGGACCTTGTCCCTGCCTGGGCCTTGTCCTGTTTGGACCTTGTCCTGTCTGGACCTTGTCCTGTCTGGACCTTGTCCTGTTTGGACCTTGTCCCTGTCTGGACCTTGTCCCTGTCTGGACCTTGTCCTGTTTGGACCTTGTCCCTGCCTGGACCTTGTCCTGTTTGGACCTTGTCCTGTCTGGACCCTCTACTGTTCATAATGTACATGTATTTATTGTGTGTGTGTGTGTGTGTGTGTGTGTGTGTGTGTGTGTGTGTGTGTGTGTGTGTGTGTGTGTGTGTGTGTGTGTGTGTAGATATCCCCCCCACCAGTCAGGGAGTGGACCACCGTCAGATCCAGAGGGAGTTAGGAGAGGTGGTCATCCACCTTCACAACCCCACCATCCTCTCCTCCTCCTCCGTCAGAGTGCAGTGGACGGTGAGTGGTTCTCTCAGCTTCAAAACAGGGCTTTAGGGATTACAAGCCTAATGTATGTATGTATATGGTTTATGTATTACTTTAATATCTATTTTGTATTTTGTATGTTTTAGCATAGATTTGTATTGTTTGCTCCAAAGTCACCATGGGGAGTGGCAAGGTCTGGAGCGCTCTGTGCTCACGGTCGATTTGTTTGGCCACTCAGCAGTGCTAATGTCCTAATGTCCTAATGTCCTGTAGAGGACGGACACTGCACTGCAGAGAGAGAGAACAAAGAACAGACTGGAACCCTGTCAAAACTTTCTAAGTGTCCATCTGGTCAGGACCAGTCACACTGGCCAGCACTCCTGCTGTAGGACCTGTTTGCCTGTCTGTCTGTTTGTCCGCCTGTCTTCAGTCAGAGCTAAACCAACCCACAGCGGGCAACTCACAACACTCCACAACACACCAGTCCACTGCCATAAGCCGCCCAGCAGCACAGCGTGCCAGCCTGTGCCCTCCCAGATTGAAAACACTTGACTGCTGTTAAAACAATACAAGTGAGAAGGAAGAGGCAGCCAACTAGTGCTCTCAGGCTGAAATGGGTTGCAGATGTGGGAGGGGAGGAGGAGGAGGAGAATAAAGGAGAGGGAGAGGTTAAAGGGCAGCTTGGAGAGGTGTTAGGACCTCTCTGCTGTGAGATAGTGGATATCTTATTAAACACTGGCTCCATGTCTATATATTCTAGGTTCTGTTGGGCTGAATAGAAAGAAAGTATAACTGTGCACCTCACTAGTTGTGTCAGACATACTGTATTCTATAAACTGCCTTCTTGTTCATACAGTATAGGCTGCTACTACCCTTGGGGGTTGGTCCAATCTCTGCTTTGTATTTGAACACAAGGCCACACCTACGTTCCCAGGGATAACTAGGTACCATAATGAGTGATGAATGGGATATGTGAAAAGGATACTGACATGCCAATACTGATCCAAGACTCTTTCTGATCACCACTGCCCAGTTACCATGTCTGGCAGCCCGTCTCCCAGTTACCGTGTCTGACTGCCCGTCTCCCAGTTACCGTGTCTGACTGCCCGTCTCCCAGTTACCCTGTCTGACAGACCGTCTCCCAGTTACCGTGTCTGGCAGCCCGTCTCCCAGTTACCCTGTCTGACAGACCGTCTCCCAGTTACCGTGTCTGGCAGACCGTCTCCGTGTTACCCTGTCTGATCCCCAGTTACCGTGTCTGACAGCCCGTCTCCCAGTTACCCTGTCTGACAGCCCGTCTCCCAGTTACCCTGTCTGACAGCCCGTCTCCCAGTTACCGTGTCTGACAGACCGTCTCCCAGTTACCGTGTCTGACAGCCCGTCTCCCAGTTACCCTGTCTGACAGCCCGTCTCCCAGTTACCGTGTCTGACAGACCGTCTCCCAGTTACCGTGTCTGACAGCCCGTCTCCCAGTTACCGTGTCTGACAGCCGTCTCCCAGTTACCGTGTCTGCAGCCGTCTCCCAGTTACCCTGTCTGACGCCCGTCTCCCGTTACCGTGTCTGGCAGACCGTCTCCGTGTTACCCTGTCTGATCCCCAGTTACCATGTCTGACAGCCCGTCTCCCAGTTACCCTGTCTGACAGCCCGTCTCCCAGTTACCGTGTCTGACAGACCGTCTCCCAGTTACCGTGTCTGACAGACCGTCTCCCAGTTACCATGTCTGACAGCCCGTCTCCCAGTTACCGTGTCTGACAGACCGTCTCCCAGTTACCGTGTCTGACAGCCCGTCTCCCAGTTACCGTGTCTGACAGACCGTCTCCCAGTTACCGTGTCTGACAGACCGTCTCCCAGTTACCCTGTCTGACAGCCCGTCTCCCAGTTACCGTGTCTGACAGCCGTCTCCCAGTTACCGTGTCTGACTGCCCGTCTCCCAGTTACCGTGTCTGACAGCCCGTCTCCCAGTTACCCGTGTCTGACTGCCCGTCTCCCAGTTACCGTGTCTGACTGCCCGTCTCCCAGTTACCGTGTCTGACAGCCCGTCTCCCAGTTACCGTGTCTGACTGCCCGTCTCCCAGTTACCGTGTCTGACAGCCCGTCTCCCAGTTACCGTGTCTGACAGCCCGTCTCCCAGTTACCGTGTCTGACAGACCGTCTCCCAGTTACCGTGTCTGACAGACCGTCTCCCAGTTACCCTGTCTGACAGCCCGTCTCCCAGTTACCGTGTCTGACAGCCCGTCTCCCAGTTACCGTGTCTGACTGCCCGTCTCCCAGTTACCGTGTCTGACAGCCCGTCTCCCAGTTACCGTGTCTGACTGCCCGTCTCCCAGTTACCGTGTCTGACTGCCCGTCTCCCAGTTACCGTGTCTGACAGCCCGTCTCCCAGTTACCGTGTCTGACTGCCCGTCTCCCAGTTACCGTGTCTGACAGCCCGTCTCCCAGTTACCGTGTCTGACAGCCCGTCTCCCAGTTACCGTGTCTGGCAGACCGTCTCCGTGTTACCCTGTCTGATCCCCAGTTACCATGTCTGACAGCCCGTCTCCCAGTTACCCTGTCTGACAGCCCGTCTCCCAGTTACCGTGTCTGACAGACCGTCTCCCAGTTACCGTGTCTGACAGACCGTCTCCCAGTTACCATGTCTGACAGCCCGTCTCCCAGTTACCGTGTCTGACAGACCGTCTCCCAGTTACCGTGTCTGACAGCCCGTCTCCCAGTTACCCTGTCTGACAGCCCGTCTCCCAGTTACCGTGTCTGACTGCCCGTCTCCCAGTTACCGTGTCTGACAGCCCGTCTCCCAGTTACCGTGTCTGACTGCCCGTCTCCCAATTACCGTGTCTGACAGCCCGTCTCCCAGTTACCCTGTCTGACAGCCCGTCTCCCAGTTACCGTGTCTGACAGACCGTCTCCCAGTTACCGTGTCTGACAGCCCGTCTCCCAGTTACCGTGTCTGACAGCCCGTCTCCCAGTTACCGTGTCTGACAGACCGTCTCCCAGTTACCGTGTCTGACAGCCCGTCTCCCAGTTACCGTGTCTGACAGCCCGTCTCCCAGTTACCGTGTCTGACAGCCCGTCTCCCAGTTACCCTGTCTGACAGCCCGTCTCCCAGTTACCGTGTCTGGCAGACCGTCTCCGTGTTACCCTGTCTGATCCCCAGTTACCATGTCTGACAGCCCGTCTCCCAGTTACCCTGTCTGACAGCCCGTCTCCCAGTTACCGTGTCTGACAGACCGTCTCCCAGTTACCGTGTCTGACAGACCGTCTCCCAGTTACCATGTCTGACAGCCCGTCTCCCAGTTACCGTGTCTGACAGACCGTCTCCCAGTTACCGTGTCTGACAGCCCGTCTCCCAGTTACCGTGTCTGACAGACCGTCTCCCAGTTACCGTGTCTGACAGACCGTCTCCCAGTTACCCTGTCTGACAGCCCGTCTCCCAGTTACCGTGTCTGACAGCCCGTCTCCCAGTTACCGTGTCTGACTGCCCGTCTCCCAGTTACCGTGTCTGACAGCCCGTCTCCCAGTTACCGTGTCTGACTGCCCGTCTCCCAGTTACCGTGTCTGACTGCCCGTCTCCCAGTTACCGTGTCTGACAGCCCGTCTCCCAGTTACCGTGTCTGACTGCCCGTCTCCCAGTTACCGTGTCTGACAGCCCGTCTCCCAGTTACCGTGTCTGACAGCCCGTCTCCCAGTTACCATGTCTGGCAGACCGTCTCCGTGTTACCCTGTCTGATCCCCAGTTACCATGTCTGACAGCCCGTCTCCCAGTTACCCTGTCTGACAGCCCGTCTCCCAGTTACCGTGTCTGACAGACCGTCTCCCAGTTACCGTGTCTGACAGACCGTCTCCCAGTTACCATGTCTGACAGCCCGTCTCCCAGTTACCGTGTCTGACAGACCGTCTCCCAGTTACCGTGTCTGACAGCCCGTCTCCCAGTTACCCTGTCTGACAGCCCGTCTCCCAGTTACCGTGTCTGACTGCCCGTCTCCCAGTTACCGTGTCTGACAGCCCGTCTCCCAGTTACCGTGTCTGACTGCCCGTCTCCCAGTTACCGTGTCTGACAGCCCGTCTCCCAGTTACCGTGTCTGACTGCCCGTCTCCCAGTTACCGTGTCTGACAGCCCGTCTCCCAGTTACCATGTCTGACAGCCCGTCTCCCAGTTACCGTGTCTGACAGACCGTCTCCCAGTTACCGTGTCTGACAGCCCGTCTCCCAGTTACCGTGTCTGACTGCCCGTCTCCCAGTTACCGTGTCTGACTGCCCGTCTCCCAGTTACCGTGTCTGACTGCCCGTCTCCCAGTTACCGTGTCTGACAGCCCGTCTCCCAGTTACCGTGTCTGACTGCCCGTCTCCCAGTTACCGTGTCTGACAGCCCGTCTCCCAGTTACCGTGTCTGACTGCCCGTCTCCCAGTTACCGTGTCTGACAGCCCGTCTCCCAGTTACCCTGTCTGGCAGACCGTCTCCTTGTTACCCTGTCTGATCCCCAGTTACCGTGTCTGACAGACCGTCTCCCAGTTACCGTGTCTGACAGCCCGTCTCCCAGTTACCGTGTCTGGCAGACCGTCTCTGTGTTACCCTGTCTGATGCCCAGTTACTCTGTCTGACAGCCCGTCTCGCTGTTACCCTGTCTGACTGGAATGCTCCAGGAGAAACCAACTAGACTTTTCCACCAAGAGTCACTAATAACTTTGCATTGTATTTACCTGCACTCTTTACATGGCCATGGTTTGAGTTTCTGGGTTGTATGTTGTTGTTCTTATGTGTTTCTGCTTAACGGTTGCACAGTTCTGAGCCTAATGAAGACCACCTGAGCCGACAGCACATTTTATAGGAGAGAGATACAAAAACACAAATGTTAAACTTTACAAGCCAGTACTGCCTGCGTTTCACAGGGACCTCATTTGATAGTACATTACACTACACTACTGTATACTACATTACAGTACACTACAGTACACTAGAGTACAGTACAGTGCAGTACACTACAGTACACTGTAGTGTAGTGTATGAAAATGTATGCACTCACTAACTGTAAGTCGCTCTGGATAAGAGCGTCTGCTAAATGACTAAAATGTAAATATTTACAGTACACTAGAGTACAGTACAGTACAGTGCAGTACACTACAGTACACTACAGTACACTACAATATAGTATCCTTCTAGTTCACATAGGTTGTATTGTAAAATGCATATATTCAGTAGAGGCAAATGAATAGATGATCTGAAGTTCACTAACACATGCCATCAGCCATGACTGACTCTATCCAAGCCTCTCTAAATCAAGATCCACATTTACCAATGCTCTATTATACGATATGATCTCTGTCATCAAGGCTCTCTCTGTACCCTCAGCCTGTCCTGTCCCCTGGTGTATGAGTCAGCTCCACTGTCCCCCTGATCCTAGACTAGAGTTCCCATAAGTCAGGAGGAGACGGCGCGGGCTGTTCTGGGCGCCCAGTTCTAGCCCCTTCTAACCAGGACCAGACTCTCAGGAACCTCTGGGCTATGACCTCATAGTGTGTTGCGGTTTCCACACATCGCTGCCGCTCCAAACGGATCCGCTCCACTGGCCGACACACAGACGGAGGGATGGAGGGATAGATGGATGGATGGAGGGATGGATGGACCATGTGATGAGTTAGCACTCCGGTCCCCACTAGCCAGCCAGCCAGCCAGCCAGCCAGGGACAGCCACATTAGTTAAACAAGACTACAGCAACAACTGAGCTGTCTATTGATAATGTTTTCCAGAACGATGCTGAGAGACTTTCCACTGTAGAGTCACTCTGAGTGCCTAAATAGAGTCATGCTGACCTGTATGTTTGTGTGTGTATGTTTGTGTGTGTGTGTGTCTGTGTGTGTGTGTGTGTGTGTCTGTTGTCTGTCTGTCTGTCTGTCTGTCTGTCTGTCTGTCTGTCTGTCTGTCTGTCTGTCTGTCTGTCTGTCTGTCTGTCTGTCTGTCTGTCTGTCTGTGTCTGTGTCTGTGTCTGTGTCTGTGTCTGTGTCTGTGTCTGTGTGTGTGTGTGTTGTTATCTCCCCTGGCCACTAGGTGGAGCAGCAGTCTCAGTACATCCAGGGTTATAAGGTGATGTACAGGGCCTCTCCAGAGGGGCAGCAGAGGAGTGACTGGGCTGTGTTTGAGGTGAGAACCCCAGGGGAGGACAGTACTGTGGTGCCCCAGCTCAGGAAAGGAGTCACCTACGAGTTCAAAGTTCGCCCCTTCTTCAACGAGTTCCAGGGAACAGACAGTGAGGTCAAGATAGCCAAGACTCTGGAGGAAGGTGGGTGGACATATCTGTGTGTGTGTGTGTGTGTGTGTGTGTGTGTGTGTGTGTGTGTGTGTGTGTGTGTGTGTGTGTGTGTGTGTTTGTGTGTGTGCGAGCGCACAGAGTTTATCTGTGACCTTTGCAACTATGCATGCGTGTGAGAACAACAGCTGTTCCCAGCGGGTGTAGAGAGTAAAGGATCATATTATGTGCTGTGGTGTTTTCTGCGTGTTAGGGCAGATGTTGTACTGTTTGAAAAAGTCCTGTGAAACCCAGAGGATGATAAACCCAAATACTACGTACACATAAGTGCTGTGCTAATTGTTCATAGACTGTGATTGTGTGGTTGCGGAAATCTTTCGGGGTTTGGAAGTAACACCCAGAGCTCATATATGCCATATGAAAGAGAGGAGCATCATCAAAAGTTATGAATGAATGAATGAATGAGGGAGGGAGGAGCTGACTGAAAAAAAGACAGTTTGCCAAAATATGTTTGTGGGTGTGTGTTTTCATTTCTCCCACGATGCTTTGTTGCTAATTTTGTTGCTAATTGTTTTCAGAGTTCAAACACGATGCCTTCACTCCCGTGAGCAGAAATGCATGATTTCATTACTGTGAATCAGAACGAGATTAAGAGTGTTATGTTGTATGTTGTCATAATTAATTCACTTTAGTTATACTCATCAGGGTAGAATCATCACAGAACACACACAAGCGTAAACATTGCAATTATAATTCTCTCTTTGTTTGAATAAGCAGGGATTTTCTTTTTATTTCCTCAAGCACTTTCTTTGAACAAAGAAAGATAGTCCTTTTAGTACAGCCACCTAGTGAATAGATACAGTCTGTGACTTCTGGATAGGATCCATTCATTAGAGCAGTAGAAGTGAGGAGAGAGCAGACAGTGTGTGACTTCTGGATAGGATCCATTCATTAGAGCAGTAGAAGTGAGGAGAGAGCAGACAGTGTGTGTGTTGCTGTTGATGGGTGTATTATATTAACATGTGTTGTTGTGTTTGTCTGTCTGTCTGTCTGTCTGTCCCCAGCTCCCAGTGCAGCCCCTCGTGGGGTTACCATCACAGAGAGTGGGGACAATGGGACCGCCATCGTGGTCTCTTGGCAACCGCCTCCAGAGGAGGAGCAGAACGGGTTAGTCCAGGAGTACAAGGTGAGAACACTGGCAGGGACTCCCAAACTCTCCTTACATACTCTGAGCGTGGTCAAAGGTAGTGTACTAAGGTAGTCTACTGTAACACCATGTAGATATTTACTCTGGTCTGTAGGGTACATCTACTGTAACACCATGTAGATATTTACTCTGGTCTGTAGGGTACATCTACTGTAACACCATGTAGATATTCGTAGCACAGCGTGAGACAAAGGACAGACAGACTGTAATGTTATGAGACATGGGTAGAGGTTTTCAACTTCCTCTGTGCCTAGTGATCTCAGGGGTGGAGGAGACAGTAGGATGTTACTGTGTGATGGTGGGTGGAAATGGTTGTGAAACAGTGTCATCTGGTGGACTAGATAGATGTACAGTCGTGGTCAAAAGTTTTGAGAATGACACAAATATAAATTTTCACAGTCTGCTGCCTCAGTTTTTATGATGGCAATTTGCATATACTCCAGAATGTTATGAAGAGTGATCAGATGAATTGCAAAGTCCCTCTTTGGCATGAAAATGAAGTTAATCCCCCAAAAACATTTCCACTGCATTTCAGCCCTGCCACAAAAGCTGACATCATGTCAGTGATTCTCTCGTTAACACAGGTGAGAGTGTTGACGAGGACAAGGCTGGAGATCACTCTGTCATGCTGATTGAGTTAGAATAACAGACTGGAAGCGTTAAAGGGAGGGTGGTGCTTGAAATCATTGTTCTTCCTCTGTTAACCATGGTTATCTGCAAGGAAACACGTGCCGTTATCATTGCTTTGCACAAAACGGGCTTCACAGGCAAGGATATTGCTGCTAGTAAGATTGCGCCTAAATCAACCATTTATCGGATCATCAAGAACTTCAAGGAGAGAGGTTCAATTGTTGTGAAGAAGGCTTCAGGGCGCCCAAGAAAGTCCAGCAAGCGCCAGGACCATCTCCTAAAGATGATTCAGCTACGGGATCGGGGCACCACCAGTGCAGAGCTTGCTCAGGAATGGCAGCAGGCAGGTGTGAGTGCATCTGCACGCACAGTGAGGCAAAGACTTTTGGAGGATGGCCTGGTGTCAAGAAAGGCAGCGAGGAAGCCACTTCTCTCCAGGAAAAACATCAGGGACAGACTGATATTCTGCAAAAGGTACAGGGATTGGACTGCTGAGGACTGGGGTAAAGTCATTTTCTCTGGTGAATCCCCTTTCCGTATGTTTGGGGCATCCGGAAAAAAGCTTGTCCGGAGAAGACAAGGTGAGCGCTACCATCAGTCCTGTGTCATGCCAACAGTAAAGCATCCTGAGACCATTCATGTGTGGGGTTGCTTCTCAGCCAAGGGAGTGGGCTCATTCACAATTTTGCCTAAGAACACAGCCATGAATAAAGAATGGTACCAACACATCCTCCGAGAGTAACTTCTCCCAACCATCCAAGAACAGTTTGGTGACGAACAATGCCTTTTCCAGCATGATGGAGCACCTTGCCATAAGGCAAAAGTGATAACTAAGTGGCTCGGGGAACAAAACATCGACATTTTGGGTCCATGACCAGGAAACTCCCCAGACCTTAATCCGATTGAGAACTTGTGGTCAATCCTCAAGAGGCGGGTGGACAAACAAAAACCCACAAATTCTGACAAACTCCAAGCATTGATTATGCAAGAATGGGCTTCCATCAGTCAGGATGTGGCCCAGAAGTTAATTGACAGCATGCCAGGGCGGATTGCAAAGGTCTTGAAAAAGAAGGGTCAACACTGCAAATATTGACTCTTTGCATGAACTTAATGTAATTGTAAATAAAAGCCTTTGACACTTATGGAATGCTTGTAATTATACTTCAGTATACTTCATAGTAACAGCTGACAAAAATATCTAATCTTGTGTCATTCTCAAAACTTTTGACCATGACTGTACACAATGTCTGAGTGGTCCTCAGAGGCTCTCTCTATTCCTTAGTGCAGGGGTATTCAAATCTTACCCTACGAGGTCCAGAGCCTGCTGGTTTTCTGTTCTGCCTGATAAATAATTGCACCTATCTGGTTTCCCAGGTCTAAATCTGTCCCTGATTAGAGGGGAAGAATGGGGAGTTGAAAAGCAGTAGAATTGCCCACTGGGCACAGACGTCATTTCAATGTCTATTCCACATTGATTCAACGTAATTTCATTGAAATGACGTGGAAACAACATTGATTCAACCAGTGTGTGCCCAGTGGGTGGCTTCGAGGTCCAGATTTGAATTTGAGGGCCTTAGTGGATTATTCAGTAGTAGTCTACTCAAGTTCTAGACTACCTGATGTATTATCTATACAGCCATACATTATAGCCATACATTATAGCCACACATTATATCAGCCAAACATCATAGCACCCTTACAGTATAGCCATAAATTATAGCCATACATTATAGCCATACATTATAGCCATACATTATATATGAATCCTGCTGATTAACGATTAGAGGACTGCAGGCTTAAAATCTAGATAATGATCTCTTTCTACAATGTCAGATATGGACATTTTTCTGAGCACCTATTGGCTCTTGGCCATTGGCCCACAAACTACTCTTATGAGCCTCTTAAATCATTAGAAGGGATTTCTTTGATTTACTGGAAAGAGCGTTATGAATGGGAAAGACAACATCAGAGTGAGATTATAGCAGGGAAAATAGATATGTAAGATATTTTTTGGGACGACTGCTCTTGTTGCAGTGCTTAATCCATTCCATCTCTTTGGTCCAGGTCAGCCTAATTTTGTAGTTACATTTTAGTCATTTAGTAGACGTTCTTATCCAGAGTGACTTACGGTAGGGAGTGCATATATTTTCATACCGGTCCCCCGTGGGAATCGTACCCAAGCGCCATGCTCTACCAATTGAGCCACAGCACTCCTCTCTCTGCCTTCCTCTCCGTGTCCACTCATAAGTATGCTGTTTGTGTAGCCCCCACTCTGCGGCCAGCACACTCCTCATATAATATGCTGTGTGAGAACTGCCATTTTAATTTTCTTGTCACAGGGAATGTAGGTTAGTGTTAGAGGGGGAGACACAGCATAGTCCATTTAAAAGTTAAGCCACTATTAATTTTCCAGGTAAATGTTTTCTGGCGATAGGGTTTAGAGTAATTTCATGGTTGTTAAATCCGAGCGTTCCTCGGTCATTACTGGGTCTCGTCCCTAGCGGCGCTTCTTCCCACCGTGATTCCTCAAACAGCCACACAGGCTTCTGGAGCTTTCCAACACTACGGCGCACACACACACATACACACACACACACGCACACACACACACACACACACACACGCACACACACACGCACACACACACACACACACACACACACACACACACCGCAAAACCAGGTCCGTGTGTGAGGGTTGTTAATTTATGGGAGGTGGTGGGGGTAAAGAAAGCAGAGGCGGCCAGGTTCAGGATGTTGGGGTTAGCCAGGTTCAGGACATTGGGGTTAGCAGGCCTCATGCTGAGGTGAATGTATGACGCTCTGTATAACCCTGGATTGAGTTAGCCTGAGAGAGCCCTGGATTGAGTTAGCCTGAGAGAGCCCTGGATTGAGTTAGCCTGAGAGAGCCCTCTCTCCTCCCTGTGAGTGACTGACAGCCCTGAGCTGCTACTGCTGGGTTATGGAGGTGATTACTAATCCACACTTTGTTTTTCATGGGGTTAGGGTTCACTCACTCAGACAGGGGGGACATGTTATGGCTACCGCAGCTAATACTGACTCTGTGTCTAACACAAAAAAAAACAGAAAAACGTGCCCCAGTGTTTTTATATGTGGAATACCTGGGTGGAATAATTAAATATGCACTGTGTGCTGAAGTGTTACATTAGCATCAACCAGCAACTTGCCATACTTGTCACACCACCATCAGAACACTGTTATAATGTCTTCTCTCTCTCTCTGCCCTGTCAGATCTGGTGTTTGGGTAATGAGAGCAGGTACCATATCAACCGTACGGTGGACGGCTCTACCTTCTCCTTGCTGATCCCCAGCCTGGCTCCAGGGATCCGTTACAGTGTGGAGGTCGCAGCCAGCACTGGGGCAGGCCCAGGGGTCAAGTCTGATGTCACCTTCTTCCAGATAGGTGAGTGGAGGAGAACTTTGGCCTGCATTTCTCAGCACCCAGCAGGAGGTCCAAATAAGATTATTCTACCTCCGATGGAAGAGGAGGAAGAAGAGGGATAGGTCCTTCTACTATGTGTCCTCACTTGTTAACTCCATACAGCATGGATTCCAAGGCTTACTGCCTAATAACTTCCCCACCTTCTTTAACCGCAACGGCTGGAAAATATTCAATGGACATTTTGTAGTATTGACTTCTTTTTAATCTCAGTCTGAAGAGCACACTAATCCACGTTTACAGTTGTCATATTAATATTAAAGGAGTATTATGTAATCGTTGTAGAATGTTGCAAATAACTCAATTCCTTCGTGCCCCTACCTGCTATCGTGTTCATGGTCTATAACAGTGGTCTTAATGCTGTATTTATCTATCTTAATGCTGTCTTTACCACTCTGTCGGTGTACAGCCTCAATGGTTTTCACGTGACTGACATTGTGATAAAACGTTACATGTAATTCCTGCTTGGCAGCAGTGCAGTGCCTGTAGCTTCGCTGCCCCACCCTGTTCTGCCCTGCTCTGCCCTGCCCTGCTCTGCCCTGCCCTGCTCTGCCCTGCTCTGCCCTGCTCTGTTCTGCCCGCCCCACCCTGCTCTGCTCTGCTCTGTTCTGCTCTGCCCTGTTCTGCTCTGCTCTGCCCTGTTCTGCTCTGCCCTGCTCTGCCCTGCTCTGCTCTGCTCTGTTCTGTTCCACCCTGCAACAGTTAATAGGATGAAGAATAGAATAGCTGATCTTGTATTAGTGGTTAAGGGTCATTGTGTGATTCCTACTCCTACTCCCTCCATGTATGGACTCTCATCTGAGCTCTCAATAGCAGCTCTCAGTTTGAATTCACTTATCCTTAGAAACTCCAGTTACTCTATCATATCCCCTCAGCAATCCCTCCATCCCTTCAGGAATCCCTCCCTCTCCTCAGGAATCCCTCGATCCCCTCAGCAATCCCTCCTCTCACATGAAAGTCTTGCATCATACTGTGCCATTTGACTTGAGGTGAGGTCTACTGTCTGAAAATGATCCCTAGTACTTTGAGAAAGTTAAAAGCCCTTGAACATCTGCAGCTGAAAAATGTAGCTGTATAGATGTATTTTTATTCTGTTTTATATTTCACTCTCTCTGATCCTGCGAGGGCGTTTTTGTGTATGTAGTTCTTCTATTGAAGTGCATCTTCCGGTCCCACCAGTTTCTGTTAGCAATTCCCATCTGAATATGTCTGGAAAGACAGAACAACTTGCTACGACAAGAATAAATCAAGGAGAAACTAACAGTTCTCAAGCTTGAAGTATACTTTTATAATAGTTTTCACTGAAAGCCTATGATGCAAATGACTGTGAGAGTTTGAAACATTGTGTCATACTGTTGCAAGAGAATCCTTACCATACCATTGTGCTTTTCACTCTATATCCATGAGTTTAGTACTCAGTATCAGATGCTGGTTGCTCTCTATGAGTGGACACTGCTTACCTAACCTGCAGTGGGTTTACCTGATCCGATGTGACAGGGTTCAGTACATGCCCAACCTCTGCCCACAATAGTTTAAGGAGATGAAGGAGTTAATAGGCTCTCATTCCTGTGCTACCTGGTTTAATATGTGGCTGGCTGCAGGCGATGCAGCTGCTGCCTGCCTGACTTCCTTCCCCGTACCCTGTATGAATGTGGGTTTATAGTAAACATAATGGAGTTTGGTATCTCTATAGACTTACATAACTTACAGCAGAGGCGTAGATCTGCTCTGCTTCATTCTGTTCTCCAGTCAAGGAGGCAATGGTCTAGTGCTTAACAAGAGCAATAAACCATGAACTCTAGCACAACTGTGTGTTTTGAGAGGGCATGTTTTTATTAACTTACCTGTCAAGATCACGATACCTGAGCGGCTGTAAGATCCAATGTAGCAAGTTCCTTTTCTGACAAATCCCCTCTCTCCACATGTCATGTGGAGTGTCAAGACCAGCAATAGTTCACATGTAGTCTATGTATGTACAGTATAATACTGTTGATATCTGGCACGTCAGTCAGTCATGCCTTTACTTCCTTACACAGGATGCATTATAGCTACCTGGGATGAATCTAATTCAGTCTTCCCTCTTATAGCCCAGGCTATTTAAGATCCTCCGTCAGAATACTCCCCAGATCTGAGCTGTCACAAATCTGCTCATGGTAAAGGGGGAATAAATTATAACAACATGAAACAGCGGTGCTGGGTGCTTGGTAGAGGGACAGCTGTGTGTCTGTGTGTGTTAAAGTGGGATGGGATGGGCATGGAGAAGCAGGAAGCTGTGACTGATACAATTTCTCTCACTTGAGGACTTCCAGCGGCGCCTGTTGCCATGTTCCAACGCTGGAGTGGAAAAACACCCCTGCGGGACCAGCGCTTCACCCTAATGCATTTGTCACACTGTGGGCTTGTTTGTGTCATGGCATAGCAGTCCAGATACCTGTAAAGTCCCTGAGGACTGTTTAGTCACATTGGTACTCTGCTTCCCTCCTCACAGAAACAGGAATGAAATCCACATATAAGTGGGGGGGGGGGGGGGGGGGGGGGGGGGGAGGGAGGAGGAGGAGGGAGGGAGGAGGAGAGGGAGGGAGGAGGAGGGAGGGAGGGAGGGAGGGAGGAGAGAGAGAGAGAGAGAGAGAGATATGGGGTAGCAACACTGGAACTTTGGGAGACCTGCTTGCCTCTGACTGAGTGAGTCTGTAAAGATTAAAGTGGTTGCAACATGAAACAAGAGAGAGAGAAAAATAGAGATGAAGAAAGTTAGAAAGGCAGTTGAACATGAAGAAATTGCTTAGGGGGGACAAATGAGTACTCTTTCATGTGAGGCATGGGAGAGAAACGCAGAGAGACTAGACAGATGAATAAAACAGGCCTTTGTTGTGTGATCACTAGTTCTGACGGTTGATTTTGAATAGTAGAACTGTAGCAACAGCTAACAGAAATACATACCCAAGTTACACATTAAAGTGCTACAGTGTGCTAATGACTAGTACTATGTTTGTATTAGTACTACTGTGACCTAATTCGATGTAATAATAACTAATAGAATGATGCTCAGTGTGTGATCATACTTCTTTAAGTCTTCCTGGGTGTGTGCAACATTCCTGTAGTGTGCTTCCTGGTTCAACTCTTATACGAATAGATTATGTTTAAATCTCCTGGATTTAGACCTTTTGTCTATCCACCTGCCATTGTTGACTAGGATCAGTTCTGGGATCAGTTCTGAAAGCCTTTTATAATAGAGAGAGAGCCCTCCCATCTCTACAGCTCCACAGCCCAGGACCAGCCTTACGCTCACCTGCAGAGATGAAAGAAGTATTTTGTGTGTCAGAAGAAAAGAGTACGTTCATATTGATGCCCTTTCCTGACTTCATTTACCTCTTTCTACCCCCTGCTTCAAAATCATTCCCCGTTTCAGGCTTTTCCACTCGTTTTGAAGTTTTATTTTTAGAATAATATTTCCCTTTCTTCTCTTCTCTTCTCCTCTCTCTCCTCTCTCTCTCTCTCTCTCTCTCTCTCCTTCCTCTCCCTCTCCCTCCTCTCTCTCCTCTCTCTCTCTGGTCTCTGTCTCTCTGTCTCTCTCTCTGTCTCTCTCTCACTCTCTCTCTCATCGTCTTGTCTCTCTGTCTCATCTCCCTGTCTCTCTCCTACTCTCTCTCACTCTCCTCTCGCTCTCTCTCTCCTCTTCTCTCTGTCTTCTCTCTCTCTCCTCTCTCGCTCCTTCCCTTTACTACTACTTTCCCATGTCCTCCCCTCCTTTCTCCTCCCTTGTTCTTTCCTGTGTACTTTCCACCTCTTCTGACACTCGACCTGCTCTGGCCCTCTGACGTTCCTGACCGTCTCCTTTCATCACTCCTAATCCCTTCTTTACGTCTGTCCCCTCTCTGACTTTATCTCCCCATTCCATCACTCTCCCTTTCCTCTTCATCACCCCCTCCTCACCTTCTCACCCTTCTCCTCTCATCTCCCCACCCTGTACCCCTCTCCTCTCATATCCTCACCCTGTACTCTTCTCTTCTCTTCTCTTCTCTTCTCTTCTCTTCTCTTCTCTTCTCTTCTCTTCTCTTCTCTTCTCTTCTCTTCTCTTCTCTTCTCTTCTCTTCTCTTCTCTTCTCTTCTCTTCTCCTCTCCTCACCCTTCTCTCCCCCTCTTTTTGCTCTTACCCTTTCCTATTCCTGCCCACTCTCTCCTCTCACCTCCTCATCCTCCACCCCTCTTTCACCCCTCTCCCATCCTATCCTCTCTCCCCCTCTCCTCTCTCCCCCCTGTAGACTCATCGGGGCGTATGACGGAGGGTGTGGTGGACTCAGAGAACACTCTGTCCCAGCAGATCAGTGACGTGGTGAAGCAGCCGGCCTTCATAGCGGGGATAGGAGCAGCCTGTTGGATCATCCTCATGGTGTTCAGTATCTGGCTCTACCGACAGCGCAAGAAGAGGAGTGGCCTCAGCACTAACTACGCAGGCATCCGCAAGGGTCAGTACAACAAGCCTCACTTAATGTCAGCACACTGGATTCACAAGCTCGAGGTGTCCTCAAGCACTGATCTAGGATCAGGTTCCAAACCCTAAATGTAACAGTTAATAGAATAGCTGATCTTGTATTAGTGGTTAAGGGTCATTGTGTGATTCCTACTCCTACTCCCTCCATGTATGGACTCTCATCTGAGCTCTCAATAGCAGCTCCAGTTATTCTATCATATCCCCTCAGCAATCCCTCCATCCCTTCAGGAATCCCTCCATCCCTTCAGGAATCCCTCCATCCCCTCAGCAATCCCTCCTCTCACATGAACGTCTTGCATCATACTGTGCCATTTGACTTGAGGTGAGGTCTACTGTCTGAAAATGGTCCCTAGTACTTTGAGAAAGTTAAAAGCCCTTGAACATCTGCAGCTGAAAAATGTAGCTGTCTCCTGCATAGATGTATTTTTATTCTGTTTTATATTTCACTCTCTCTGATCCTGCGAGGGTGTTTATGTGTATGTAGTTCTTCTATTGAAGTGCATCTTCCGGTCCTACCAGTTTCTGTTAGCAATTCCCATCTGAATATGTCTGGAAAGACAGAACAACTTGCTACGACAAGAATAAATCAAGGAGAAACTAACATTTCTCAAGCTTGAAGTATACTTTTATAATAGTTTTCACTGAAAGCCTATGATGCAAATGACTGTGAGAGTTTGAAACATTGTGTCATACTGTTGCAAGAGAATCCTTACCATACCATTGTGCTTTTCACTCTATATCCATGAGTTTAGTACTCAGTATCAGACGCTGGTTGCTCTCTAGGAGTGGACACTGCTTACCTAACCTGCAGTGGGTTTACCTGATCCGATGTGACAGGGTTCAGTACATGCCCAACCTCTGCCCACAATAGTTTAAGGAGATGAAGGAGTTAATAGGCTCTCATTCCTGTGCTACCTGGTTTAATATGTGGCTGGCTGCAGGCGATGCAGCTGCTGCCTGCCTGACTTCCTTCCCCGTACCCTGTATGAATGTGGGTTTATAGTAAACATAATGGAGTTTGGTATCTCTATAGACTTACATAACTTACAGCAGAGGCCTTGATTTGTGTAAGGACTAAGGTCTCTGGGTATATTTTGGATGTTGACTGCATCGTGTGCTAGTGTGATTAAGTTCTACTCTGTGTTGCTATGGTGAGACAGATGCTGAGGTCACAGGGTTGGTCATCTTCACGGAAAAGGATTGTGTGGTATGTTAAAAATAAAGCAATGCCCACATGCTATGCCCACATACAAGGCTTTTAATACAAGAAAAGCCGGGCCTCGAGGGACTCTAGTTTGAGCCAATGAGCAGTCATTTTGACTGCAACATTCTAACAGTGTAATAAATATATTTAATATACACTACCGGTCGAAAGTTTTAGAACACCTACTCATTCAAGGGTTTTTCTTTATTTGTACTATTTTCTACATTGTAGAATAATAGTGAAGACATCAAAACTATGAAAAAACACATATGAAATCATGTAGTAACCAAAAAAGTGTTAAATAAATCAAAATGTATTTTATATTTGAGATTCTGCAAATAGCCAACCTTTGCCTTGATGACAGCTTTGCACACTCTTGGCATTCTCTCAACCAGCTTCAACCAGCTTCATGAGGTAGTCACCTGGAATGCATTTCAATTAACAGGTGTGCCTTCTTAAAAGTTAATTTGTGGTAAAAGACCCAGTCCATATTATGGCAAGAACAGCTCAAATAAGCAAAGAGAAACGACATGATGGTCAGTCAATACGGAACATTTCAAGAACTTTGAAAGTTTCATCAAGTGCAGTTTGCAAAAAACCATCAAGCGCTATGATGAAACTGGCTCTCATGAGGACTGCCACAGGAATGGAAGACCCAGAGTTACCTCTGCTGCAGAGGATAAGTTCATTAGAGTTACCAGCCCCAGAAATTGCAGCCCAAATAAATGCTTCACAGAGTTCAAGTAACAGACACATCTCAACATCAAATGTTCAAAGGAGACTGTGTGAATCAAGCATTCATGGTTGAATTGCTGCAAAGAAACCACTACTTAAGGACACCAATAATAAGAAGAGAATTGCTTGGGCCAAGAAACACGAGCAATGGACATTAGACCGGTGGAAATTTGTGTCTCCAAATTTGAGATTTTTGGTTCCAACCGCTGTGTCATTGTGAGACGTAGAGTAGGTGAACGGATGATCTCCGCATGTGTGGTTCCCACCGTAAAGCATGGAGCAGGAGGTGTGATGGTGTGGGGGTGCTTTGCTGGTGACACTGTCAGTGATGTATTTAGAATTCAAGGCACACTTAACCAGCATGGCTACCACAGCATTCTGCAGCGATATGCCATCCCATCTGGTTTGGGCTTAGTGGGACTATCATTTGTTTTTCAACAGGACAATGACCAAACACACCTCCACGCTGTGTAAGGGCTATTTGACCAAGAAGGAGAATGATGGAGTGCTGCATTAGATGACCTGGCCTCCACAATCCCCCGACCTCAACCCAATTGAGATGGTTTGGGATGAGTCGGACGGCAGAGTGAAGGAAAAGCAGCCAACAAGTGCTCAGCATATGTGGGAACTCCTTCAAGACTGTTGGAAAAGCATTCCAGATGAAGCTTGTTGAGAGAATACCAAGAGTGTGCAAAGCTGTCATCAAGGCAAAGGCTGGCTATTTGAAGAATCTCAAATATAAAATATATTTTGATTTGTTTAACACTTTTTTGGTTACTACATGATTCCATATGTGTTATTTGATAGTTTTGATGTCTTCACTATTATTCTACAATGTAGAAAATAGTAAAAATAAAGAAAAACCCTTGAATGAGTAGGTGTTCTAAAACTGTTGACCGGTAGTGTATGCTATCGCAAAAATAATCCTTCGGTTGTTGGAATTAGAATATATATATTTTTTTATTTTTTTCAAAGAACACAATAGCATTTTCATTAGTTTATGTTACTGTAGACTATCTGCTGCCGGGTGCTCAGGTGTAAAGTCACTGAAATCAAAGGGCAATCCGAGCTGAACACAGTAGGACATCTGAAGACCCTTGTGAGTATATTAATCTGCTGTGCCCGGAGGCTGGAGAGAGAGGGGCTACTGTAGAGGCTGAGGTTGGCGCCATACACCTTTAAGGAACCCTTTCCTTTTCTTCCAGAGGAGCCGAGCAGTGCGTCAGTGTTTCCTCACATGAACTCTAACTCTCTGAGCTGATGTGGGCACAGCAAGCAAATATCTCTCTCTCTCTCTCAACCCCCTCTTTCTGCTGTCTAAAACCACAAGAGGCCATGGTCTTTGTTGGAACTGGTAACCAAGAATGTTTTGAGAGGAGAAGAATAATTGCAACCACATGAAGCAACAAGCTGCACTCAGGGTGAAGTGGGTTGAATTGGAGTTGTGGAGAATTGGAAGAGGAGATATAGGAGCGTGTGTGTGGGTGTGTGTGTAAGAGTGTGTGTGTGTGTGTGTGTGGTGCGTGCATGTGTTTGTGTGTGCGTGCGTGCGTCTTTTGTGTGCACGTGCGTGTGCGCCTGTGTTTGTTCTTGTGTGTGTGTGGGTCTGTGTGACATTAGTATCACGGCCAATATATCTCATCCAGCCAGTGAATAAGCTGTCAGTGACAGTCTCATGTCACTGTGGTAATTTGATTGATTTATTTCAATCACGTTAATATTTCTCACGAGCACCTCGCATGCCAAATGTCAATCCTCTTCAAAGCCAAATCGCAGCCAAATAAAACCTTCCAAATCTATTCAGCTGCTCTGAGCTTCAAGGGGAGCAGAGCAGGAATCCACACAAGAGGAGATAATTGTGGCATTAAAGGGACATTTGAAAGGTTGTGTTTACACAAATAAAAGGAGATGCAGAAGTGAGGACAGCTGTGCCTCAGTGATAGCTACTGTGCCTTCAGAATGTTTTTATACTGCTTGACCTATTCCACATTTTGTTATGTTACAGCCTGAATTCAAAATGGATAAAACATTTCTCACCCATCTACAACACAGTAGTAGATTTAAGTCAAAACTTGGCCACTCAGGAACATTCACTGTCTTCTTGGTAAGCAACTCCATTGTATATTTGACCTTGTGTTTTAGGTTATTGTCCTGCTGAAAGGTGAATTCATCTCCCAGTGTCTGGTGGAAAGCAGACTGAACCAGGTTTTCCTCTAGGATTTTGCCTGTGCTTAGCTCCATTCCATTTCTTTTTTAAAGTCACCATTGGCCTCATGGTGAAATCCCTAATCGGTTTCCTTCCTCTCTGGCAACTGAGTTAGGAAGGATGCCTGTATCTTTGTAGTGACTGGTGTATTGATACGCCATCAAAAGTGTAATTAATAAATTCACCATGCTCAAAGGGATATTAAATTATTCTCATGTGAATTGAAATTGACAAAAAAAAAACAAAAAAAAAACACGTACTTAATGAATGACATTTTAATAATAATAATAATTCAACTTAGTATGTTTCTCAAAATGTTAATATATTTTATAAGGGGATAAACAAAGATAGAGAAAATTGAGTGATTGAACTAATTAGAAGTCTGGTTTTAATCTCCTTGCAATCTCTTATCTTGCCACAGTGGGTCTGTTTTTAGAGGATTGTGGGTAATTCACCAATTGTAGATTCTATGATTATTTTACACAATGTTGTATGCATGTTTGAAGAAAGAAAGGTCTTCTATATTAGTAATAAGCACCTTGTTGTGGCATGAGGTGTAATGGTTCATGATGAACGGATATCAAAACTGTCGGGCAAAATTACGTTCAATGATGAGACAACCCATTCCCACAAATTCTTAATGGTAGAGGCAAATACAGTATGCTGCGATGTGTGTTGTAAAACTGCCAGTTACTGCTGGTGGATTGAGCACTGTGCTCAACAATGCCTGCCAAAATTTACATTTTAGTCATTTAGCAGACGCTCTTATCCAGAGTGACTTACAGTTAGTGAGTGCATACATTTTTCATACTGGCGTCGCAAACGCCATGCTCTACCAACTGAGCTACACGGGGCCACCATGTAGATGGGTTAAATTGGCCAATGATCAGATACATAAATAAATTAAAATACTCCAGATAGAAGTTAACTAATTCTGCACTAGTCAGGATTTGAAACATCATAATGGTGTTAGAAGCTTTAGAGAGAGGAAATGGCACCAAAAGAGAAGGTAACTAATTCTGCACTAAACACAACTTGAATCACCAAAATAGTGTTTTCAATCTTTTCCGGTAGTGCTCCTTGTCCCTGGCAAGGTGTTGCACAAGCAGTGTTGCAACACAGCATGTAATGTTTCAGAACATCTCAGGATGATGTGTTTCAATACTCCAGCAAAGTTAAGGTTTCGTCTCCTTTGCGTTCGTTTTGATGTTACAAAGCACAGTGAAGAGACCCCCTGTTGTGTAGCTCATTGGATTCAAGAGAAATATACGTGTTGCTATTTTATGTTATATTAATGGTGTTTTTCTCTCTCTTTCCCCGTGTTCCTCTGCTTGGACCTACAGTGCCATCCTTTACCTTCACTCCTACAGGTAAGAACTCTTGATAACACTTGACTCAATTTCATAGGCACCTTCTCTATAAAATCTCATAACAGTCCGCCTTTCAATGCAAGACTGCACTCACTGAGTCACACAGTGATGGTCTGAACAGCCCTAGCAGTCATGCTGCTCAGTCAGTCAGAAGAAAACACTCTTTGGTTAAAAATACAAAGCCACCAGAAAGGGAGCAGTGTGGTGTGAGGTTTAAGGAACTATCACAGAGATGTTTTACCAACTGGTGTTGGCAGTGCGTTAAGAGGTAAACACTTAAAGAGGAGCGAGCCGTGCCATCCGTGCTACTAAGAGACTGACGGGGACTTGATCAAAGGGCTGATGCTGCCCGCCTCTCTGCCTCTGGTGGGATTTAGGAGGATGACACATCGCCAGTCACATGGACCAATTAGACAGAGCTGTGGACAGGGAGAGAGGAGCGACTGAGGGTAGATATGAACTGGACTGACACGGACATAACAGAGCACTGTCTTTCTCTCTCTCTCTCTCTCTCTCTCTCTCTCTCTCTCTCTCTCTCTCCCTCTCTCTCTCCCCCCCCCTCTCTCTCTGTGTGTTTATCTCTCTCTCTTTCTGTCTATCTCTGTCTCTTCTCACTCGCTCACTCATTCTCTCTCTCTCTTCTCACTCTCTTTCTCTTCCTCCCCTCTCTCTCTCTTGCCGAGATGCGTGTGTTGTTGGCACATGTGTCACACACCTGTGCTCATCCTTGTAAATCAGAGAGAGAGCAAAAGAGAGGGAGAGAGAGAAGAAGAGAGTGAGCGGGGGAGTTATGTGAGGCTTGTGGTGACTAATCCCATGTGTGCAGAGCAGAGGCTGTATCTAAAATGTGAGAGTTGTTTTCCTCCTCCTCGTCAGCCTCGGGGCCTGGGATCACGTCTAATACTTTTATTGTTTCAATCCTGTTTTCATGAACTGCTGAACACTTTCAGGTGAAACCTATTTAGTCAGCTGGTTATTTTTGGGCCAGTTCCTTAATGCTTGAGGTTAGAGTTTCTGCTTGTTGAAGTTTACAATCCTAGAAGCTGCCTTGAAACTGAATATAAAGGCAGGATGTTGTCAGTGCTAATCTTCCACTAGATGCTGATTTGAGAGGCACTACATGGTTTTCGTTGTGGAATTCCTGAATGCTCTATCTACAGATGTCAAAGGTAGAGAGAGAGAGAGAGAGAGAGATACGCGCGAGAGAGAGCGAGAGAAGAGAGCGAGAGAAGAGAGAAGATAGAGAGATTGATAAAGAGGAGAGAGAGAGAGAGAGAGAGAGAGAGAGAGAGAGAGGAGAGAGAGAGAGAGAGAGAGAGAGAGAGAGAGAACCCTCCCACCCCTTCCTCAGAGAAGAGATTGTAATTAAAGTTGGCGTTTATCTCTCCTTCACACCGGCAGCTTAAAGCTCCTTGAAAGAGTCCAACTTCCAGCGTGGTGCTTCAAACACACGCCAGCCATGCCAGGAGACCAAAGCACTGTGCAGCCCCCTAAGCCTCTTACATACACACACATACACACACACACACATACCCTGTTATTGTGTTTTGATAAGCCTGTTACTCTGATGACGATTGTGATTATGGTGTTCATATCTGTTCCTTTCTCTGTCTCTCTGTACTCAGTGGCGTACCAGAGAGGTGGAGAGGCTGTCAGCAGTGCAGGAAGGTAAGAATGCATGTCTACTATGAGAGGAAGTGTTGTCTACATGTATATTTGTCTCTTCTGTATGAATATGAAACATAAAATATGAATCATAGTATCATATTCCAAGAGACAGATGGACATTTTGTTTGGGGAGGAAAGGGTACATGGGTGGTAGAATGTGCATGTGAAGGGAAGGTGTACCTTCCTCTGAAGGACACTAGGGGGAGGGCTTTTACTTCCTAAAGCTTACAGCCCAGGCAGAGGTGGAGAGGGGAGGAGAGGGGAGGGGAGGAAAGAGGAGAGGAGGGGAGGAGAGCAGAGGGGAGGGGAGGAGAGCGGAGGGGAGGAGAGCGGAGGGGAGCGGAGGGGAGAGGAGAGGAGAGGAGAGGAGAGGAGAGGAGAGGAGAGGAGAGGAGAGGAGAGGAGAGGAGAGGAGAGGAGAGGAGAGGAGAGGAGAGGAGAGGAGAGGAGCAGAAAGTACTTTGATACCAGAAGGAACAAAGGATCATCTCATCTGCCCAAACCCCCATCCTCCTCATCCGACAGAGAAGAGCACCATGTCTGGCCACAAGGCTGTGCCATAGCATCACTCTAACACACACAGAGATGGCGAAAGTTGTGTTTGCACACACCCTACTCTTTAGACTGGAGGGCCCTATGGAAATAGATGGGAGGAGTGATACAGGAGTGGGTGTGACAGAGACCAGTAGCCTATGTGTTGTTTTCCAGACTACCTCCTAGTCACCCGTACTGAGACACTCATACATTCAGACACTGATGTTATAGTCCCCTCAATCATCTAGAACCCACATTGATGCTAATGTATCTACAGACTTGTTTGAAGTAAAGCAGTGTTTTGGTGTTGTCCCCTCTTTGTGCTAAAGGTATCTCTATGGTTGGCTATTGTTCCATACCGTTATGTGTCTGTCTATACAATCATGTTATTACCCTGCTCTGTGATTGAGTCAGTTCTACAGCCTGGACAATGGTAGCTCTGCTCAAAAGACAATGGCCATTCTCTATCTATCTCCACTGAACCACTCCGGTGATCGAGGAGCCATTTTGAGATGGTATTAGACTCTGCAAGCCGAATGTGTCCATTACTCAAAGTGAATGTGGAGACTGGAAGTGGAGAGGCCAAGTCATCTGAATAGGAAACGAAAAAGAAAACTCAAAACAATGCAAATGTCTGACAGGTTGGATTGTTCCAGTGGTAGTGGTGGGAGAGAAATGACAGGGAAAGCATGGCTGTTGTGGTGTAGTGATAGTACAGCCTTTGGCTTCTAATAGATTGCCCCATTTTATGAGAATTATTAGGCTATTTAGTCTGGCTGCTTCAAATGTAAAATGTCAGCCCTGGGTTCATGATGTGGAAGTGTGGACGAGCAATAGGACTGACCCCAATTAGTCGATTGTTTGATTGTTTGGTCGTTAGGCTGTTGGTCGACCGAGATTGTTTTAGTTGTTCCTCTGTAGCTCAGCTGGTAGAGCACGGCGCTTGTAACGCCAGGGTAGTGGGTTCGATCCCCGGGACCACCCGTACACAAAAATGTATGTACGCATGACTGTAAGTCGCTTTGGATAAAAGCGTCTGCTAAATGGCATATTAATATTAATTAGTTGAGCAGTAACAAATATATATATATTTGCGCCCATCTCAGTGAACTAATCCATTGCGGAGGCCTAGACTAAAAGCCAATTTATGCTTGATTCGAAAATGTGGTCAGAGGCTCCATATGGAGGGTGTGATGCAATTGCTGAGGCCAAATCGAGTTCTGTACCTCATCGCCATGCGCCTCCCAAATGTTGTAACAATGTGGAGGGCTCTGTATAGCTCTGACATTGACATGATTGGTTGACGTTAGGTGGGGGAGGTACATCCTGTATAAACACAAACTCACTTCCTTGACAACAGCTCTGCACTGCTCCGCGAAGCGCAAGAAGTATTCTTGCCCTGACTTTTGCTGAGGCCGTATCACCGGAAATGCTGCATGGCCAATGCAGACGTGGGATTGACCATGCGCCCAGATGCACAATGCACTTCTCTCTCCAGAACGCGCTCTCTCCCGCCAATTTGTGCACATTCGTTGTTTCATAACTTCATTGTGTGAATTGTTTGCGTTTGATTGTTAGTATATATCAATTCCCCATGACATATTTCACCAGTAGTACATTTACTGTTAATTCCTATAATTCTAATCTACCATGTTTGTTACTTTGGTTACGGCAATTTATTTTAATGCATTCAATATTATTATTCCAGTCTTCCTGTTCTCATTGTCTGAGTGGACACATTGTTTGCAGAGTGCACAACCTATGCTACACTTGTGAGAAACAAGTTTTGGTTTATTTAATTCCATTTACGAGTTCTGTCAATTTAGTCATTGTCTTTAGTTTGGTGCGCTCCTGTCAATGTTGAGTAATGATGCACACCTGATGTCACGGTTTCGGCCGAGGCTGCCTCTCTTCCTTGCTCGGGCAGGCTTCGGCGTTCGTCGTCTCCGGAATACTAGCTGCCACCGTTGCATGTTTCTATGTTCGTTTGCTTTTGTCTGATTGTTGTTACACCTGTTATCGTTTAGTGTAATTAGTGTCCTATAAGTTCTCGTTGTGTTTGTCAATTGTTGTGTGTGATTGTTTTCTCTGTCGTGCGTTGCTGGACGTAATTATTGGATTGCTCGGTTGAGCTGTTCTCCACTGTGTTGGAGCGTTTTGGCGCACCTGTGTAGTGCGCCCGTTTTGTTTCTCGCCTGCGTGCGGAGTTTCGCCTTCGGGCTAGTTGGTGCGTTTCCCTTGTGATTTTCACTAAAGTCTTTGGACTGTGCTTCTGCGTCCTGCGCCTGATTCCACCACCACACCCACCTACAGCCACACTGACACCTGATTACGCAAGGAAGTTGGCCTATAGGCTACATGGCCCGCACGCAAATGTAGGCATATGAATGTGCTCATTTGGGGATCTGATAGTATTTCTGATTGGCTTAACGCACCACCTCTAATGACCTTTGGAGCTTCTCAAAGTAATGTTTTCTTCACCTCAAACAGCAAGCAAACAAAGTCTGTTTTTACATCCATTGAGAATTACAGTAGTTCCTCAATGTTTTTGAAAAATCTTTCACGCTCTCTCCCTTTCGATAACCACTCAGCGTGAAAGGGAAAAATGTCATGCTCTGATCCAGTGGAAACGTCATAAAATAGGCTTCTTATCAGTGCTAGACTTGGACTGAAATAGGTTCTGGTACTCATTTTGGGTGCCGGTACTGTTTATATTTAGGTGCAGGAGCACCACAATACTTTTGAGCTAATATTCTATAAGAGGCACAGGAGCTCAAGCAGTGGAAACAAATAGCCTACAGCTGTGTCTGTCCTGAGCTCATTGGTCCGGAAACTCGGAGGGCCCAGAATATTTAATATAATGTTGCAAGTTCGCTAGCTCAAGCTTTTGGCCGGACCCAAGTTGATAGTTTATACATTGTTTCAAGTTCGTTGCAGACAGGCCATGTGTAGCCAATGAGATTTATAGGATATTTATTTTTATCAGGATATTTTCTACCTGCAGGCTGCAATGATTTCATTTGTTGGCTTTATGTAGGCTATTTTCCGTAGTTGGCAATGGCAATATAAGTTACTTTTTAGGTTTCTGTCATTTTCATTTAGATTTGGATAGAATCTTGATTAACCACATGACACTGATTTTGAGATATGAAGACGTTATTATGAATTAAATTAAACTGTTTCATGAAAATGTGCCTATGAAAACCATAACTGGCACGCAGATTGGTAGAAATGGTAAGATACATTGGCATTCCACATACCAGCAACTTCAGGAGAGTAATGGCAGAATCTGTGAAAGCCAGCAGGAGCGGAAGGAGAACAGTTGGGTCAGGTTAAGGTTTTTTTCTTCTGGTTTTCTAGATCTCTGGCACCCTCTTGAGGCATCAAACCGTAAGCTTAAAGCATCAGACAAGCTCAATGCATATAGTTGATTTTATTAAAACACATAAAAAACACTTAATGTATATAGTATGTAAAACACGTAATGTATATAGTAGGTATAAGCTGGAAGTAGAGGCATTAAAAGGGGATCGAAAGAACAGATAACTTTCGGTCAACCAAGATTATTTTTTTGTCGGGGACAGCCCTAACGAGCATCGAGCTGGTAGTCTGTTCACATAGCGGAGAGCTAGTAGTCTGTTCAGACAGCAGAGAGCTGGTAGTCTGGTCAGACAGCAGAGAGATGGTAGTCTGGTCAGACAGCAGAGAGATGGTAGTCTGTTCAGAGAGCTGGTAGTCTGTTCAGACAGCAGAGAGCTGGTAGTCTGTTCAGACAGCAGAGAGCTGGTAGTCTGGTCAGACAGCAGAGAGATGGTAGTCTGGTCAGACAGCAGAGAGCTGGTAGTCTGGTCAGACAGCAGAGAGATGGTAGTCTGTTCAGACAGCAGAGAGATGGTAGTCTGGTCAGACAGCAGAGAGATGGTAGTCTGTTCACATAGCGGAGAGCTAGTAGTCTGTTCAGACAGCAGAGAGCTGGTAGTCTGTTCAGAGAGCTGGTAGTCTGTTCAGACAGCAGAGAGATGGTAGTCTGTTCAGACAGCAGAGAGCTGGTAGTCTGGTCAGACAGCAGAGAGATGGTAGTCTGGTCAGACAGCAGAGAGATGGTAGTCTGGTCAGACAGCAGAGAGCTGGTAGTCTGGTCAGACAGCAGAGAGCTGGTAGTCTGGTCAGACAGCAGAGAGCTGGTAGTCTGGTCAGACAGCAGAGAGCTGGTAGTCTGTTCAGACAGCAGAGAGATGGTAGTCTGTTCAGACAGCAGAGAGATGGTAGTCTGTTCAGACAGCAGAGAGATGGTAGTCTGTTCAGACAGCAGAGAGATGGTAGTCTGGTCAGACAGGGTGTATAGAGATAGGAACCAGGTCAGAAGATGGATATCCTACTCTACTCCTCTTCTGAAGCATGTAGTGGGAAAGTTGAGATTTCCATGACCTCCTTTGATCTCAGTTCTGTTCAGTACTTTCAGTCCTTTACTGTAGTTCTGTATTTATACTAAACGTTAAAGGATGATAGAGACGTTCTGTGACACCATGGAATCTACTGGGGGAGCGTTCGTGGTTCAGTGAGTGTTGTGGACGTGCATTTTCCAACACTGGGAGTGAATTCTATCTGGCTTTCTAATCCGAGCGGATCGCTAATGCTCACGAGGGCTCAGTGAAACAGTGTCACCGGCCGTGGACAAGTCATGCGCATATAATCTATTTAGCTGAGCTTTCCTCTAATGCGCATCCAAGGCCAATGGAGCAGGGAGAGAATGGTGAGAGCGAGAGAGAGAGGGAAGGAGAGGGAGAGATCATTTCCTGTAAAACAACAGCCTAGGACTTAGCCATAGGGAAGTGTGACAATTTCAGTATAACAATCCAGTATTGACTGAATCCCCATCAATCTGCCTAAAACCTGTGTTACAGTGGTGCAGCATATTCCATTGTTAGTCAGTGTTGACTGTTTTGTGCCCCATCCTTCCAGGCCAGGTTTGCTGAACATTGGGGAGTCTGCTACCCAGCCCTGGTTGGCTGATACCTGGCCCAACTCCTGCTCCAATCACAACGACTGTAGCATGAACTGCTGCACCGCAGGACAGGGCAACAGTGACAGCAACCTGGCTACATACAGCCGCCCAGGTGAGTACGCTACACACTGGAACAACACACCCAAAGATAAACAGTTATCAAAATAACTCTAAGGCCTCATGCCCATAGTGGGCACAGGGGCACGTGCCCCCTCAGATTTGTCCTGTTCATTAAAAAAAATAGTAATAATAATAACATATATATATATATATATATATATTAGTTTTTAGTTTTTTCTTTGTAATACTACTAGCCACTTAGCAATTTTATGAAGTTGTCTTTAGCTAGCCCAGATAAGTTCCCAATCTCATAACTAGCTACCAAGAAGCCATTTCAGGCTATCAGGTTGGTAGACTTAAAAAAGAAAGCAATAACTAAATATACTGAATAAGACTCACATTCCTTTCAATCTTTTACCCAGATTTTAGCAGAGATGAAGAGAAGCATATTTCATTTCTTGTTTTTTAAAGTACCACCTGTCAGGGGGATACAGACCGCTCAAGAGGTATGCTTAGATATGCAGAAAAACAAACATATTTTTGACATAGAATTAAGCATAATGATTATGGTTCTAGATCGCAGGAAAAAGCTGTTTCAGGTGTTAGAAAAATTAAAAATTCTCAAACTTACGGTCGTGGGTGTTGAGGATCCTTTGCTGATCCTTTGTGCCCCCTCAGAGTTTTGGGGTGCATGACGCACACACCTGCTCTCAAAACAAAGCATAGATAAGAATCATAGAAACAAGCGGATGTGGTCGGTAGAAAACAGAGAGAAGTGAAGTGAAATCTGGGTTAGCTCCCTCGAGACTTCTCTCTCTATACATCTCTCCTCGCGAGGTCTCTATAAGAAAAACCTTAAGGGATATGAGGCTTAGGAGTAGGAGTAGCGTGTGTGTTTGATTTATTTAATGTTAAAGCGGGGCTGTTTTAGGCAGGAAATAAAAGGAGCGCGCTGGAAGGTCCTTATGGGTTTACTCTGCTGCAAATCGAATTGCTCTGCTGATTTCCATACTTCTGTTATAGGCCATAATGCCCACTTAGTGCTCAGTTATTAAAGAAATGTTGAGCAGTGGTTGACGTCAGGGCAGGACTGCAGACTGCAGCCAAAACCGGATAGAGAGAGAGAGAGAGAGAGAGAGAGAGAGAGCGAGAGAGAGAGAGAGAGAGAGAGAGAGAGAGAGAGAGAGAGAGAGAGAGAGAGAGAGAGAGAGAGAGAGAGAGAGAGAGAGAGAGAGAGAGAGAGAGAGAGAACCTGGAAGAGTGCATAGAAAGAAAGGGAACGGAGGAGGAAAACAAATGATGGGGGAGGATAATTAGTACACAGAGATAAATGAAGAGAGAAAGAGAGAGTCCGTAGGGGGGAAGTAAAAGAGATGGACAGGGAGGGAGTTATTAAGGTACACCTCCAGGTGGCCTCTCAGTCAGCAGTATTTTCTATAAACAATAGGGAGTGAGTTTGGCTCTGAGGTCACACACACACACGCTTACACGCGCGTGTACGCAAACACACGCAAACACACACGTGCACGCACGCACGCACGCAAACACACACAAACACACACACACACACACACATACACACACACAATCAAAAGAGCAAACTATTCACACTGTACAGAGAAAAAGGGCCAACAGCTGGCAGAGAGGGGAGAAGTATGGCTCTTGGTGCAGGGTGGGGACAAGGGATTTGAGGTTACACACACATAGGTAGGACATAACTACAAACCATGGACCGGAGCTCTGAACCTCCTTTTGAGATACAGCAGGCTTAGAAGTTTAACTTAAGTAAAAGAGATGTGGGTATACAGTACAGTCGTTTGAACACCTGGCATATACTACAGTAGTGTAGTGTTGTCTACCCACTCATTGATTCATTTAGATTGTTGGCTTCAACCATCTCCCCAAACAGGCTTACACACACTCCTAGTGTAGCAGATGTGCTGTTGTACTAAGTGCTGTGCTACTACTGGGTTAAGCATCTTACTCAAGGACAAAGAAAGACTGTACCCATTACAGTTTACATTTGAGTCATTTAGCAGACGCTCTTATCCAGAGCGACTTACAGTTAGTGAGTGCATACATTTTTCATACTGGCCCCCCATCAAATACATACCCAACTTCTAAAGTTATCCATCACAGTCAACATCCGACTTTTCATTCCGGGGTGTGTTTAACTTTTCCTTTACATTGGTTCTGGTGAGTTAGTTTGAGAAAGGGGTAATATGCTAAAAGCACTTCTCACTCACCCCCAGTATGTTAAGGAGCATGCCTGGTGATGGCTGCTTTGTGTGGCAAACCTAAACCCTGTGAAGGTTTAACAGGATCAGCGGCTAGGTGGCAGAGCTGAGGGGTATGAATTAATGTCCCTTTATCTAACACATAGAGGCCCTTTCTCCACATGTACCTCTGAAGTGCCTCGGTTCTTGGGAAATGTGAGGCTCACGTGCGCTCGGTTGTTCCACCTACAGCCGTCCTTGGTATTTACCGCAAGGCTGGCTCTCAGATCTGCTGGAGGATTTGAATATTTTATGAGCCAGGGAAAATTGGATCTGTCAGTGGAGCTCTGTTATTTTCTGCACGCTTCGTTACAATCTTTTGATACCATGGCCACCATTGTTCCTGTACCCAAGAAAGCAAACGTAACTGAACTAAATGACTATCGCCCTGTAGCACTCACCTCTGTCATCATGAAGTGCTTTGAGAGACTAGTCAAGGATCATATCACCTCTACCTTACCTGTCACCCTAGACCCACTTCAATTTGCTTACCGCCCCAATAGATCCACAGACGATGCAATCGCCATCACACTGCACACTGCCCTACCCCATCTGGACAAGAGGAATACCTATGTAAGAATGCTGTTCATTGACTATAGCTCAGCATTCAACACCATAGTACCCTCCAAGCTCATCATTAAGCTCGAGGCCCTGGGTCTGAACCCCGTCCTGTGCAACTGGGTCCTGGACTTCCTGACGGGCCGCCCCCAGGTGGTGAAGGTAGGAAACAACATCTCCACTTCGCTGATCCTCAATACTGGGGCCCCACAAGGGTGCGTGCTCAGCCCCCTCCTGTACTCCCTGTTCACCCATGACTGCCTGGCCAATCAAGCCTCCAACTCAATCATCAAGTTTGCAGACGACACAACAGTAGTAGGCATGATTACCAACAATGACGAGACCGCCTACAGGGAGGAAGTGAGGGCTCTGGGAGTGTAGTGCCAGGAAAATAACCTCTCACTCGACATCAACAAAACAAAGGAGATGATCGTGGACTTCAGGAAACAGCAGAGGGTGCACCCCTCTATCCACATCGACGGGACCGCAGTGGAGAAGGTGGAAAGCTTCAAGTTCCTTGGCGTACACATCACCGACAAACTGAAATGGTCCACCCACGCAGACAGTGTGGTGAAGAAGGCGCAACAGAGCCTCTTCAACCTCAGGAGGCTGAAGAAATTTGGCTTAGCACCTAAAACCCTCACAAACCTTTACAGATGCACAATTGAGAGCATCCTGTCGGGCTGTATCACCACCTGGTACGCCAACTGCACCGCCCGCAACCGCAGGGCTCTCCAGAGGGTGGTGCGGTCTGCCGAACGCATTACCGGGGGTAAACTACCCGCTCTCCAAGACACATACAGCACCCGATGTCACAGGAAGGCCAAAAAGATCATCAAGGACATCAATCCACTGCCTGTTCACCCCGCTATCATCCAGAAGGCGAGGTCAGTACAGGTGCATCAAAGCTGGGACTGAGAGAATGAAAAACAGCTCTATCTCAAGGCCATTAGACTGTTAAATAGCCATCACTAGCACATTAGAGGCTGCTGCTGCCTATTGAAATCACTGGCCATTTTAAGAAATGGAACACTAGTCACTTTAATAATGTTTACATATCTTGCACTACTCATCTCATATGTATATACTGCATTCTATTCTATAATATTCTACTGTATCTTAATCCAGGCCGCTCTGTCATTGCTTGTCCATATATGTATTCTTAAATCCCATTCCTCACTAGTTTTGTGTGTATTGGGTATATGTTGTGAAATTGTTAGATATTACTTGTTAGATATTACTGCACTGTCGGAACTAGAAGCACAAGCATTTCGCTACACCCGCAATAACATCTGCTAAACACGTGTATGTGACAAATACATTTTGATTTGATTTGATTTGATACAGACGTGTTCTGCTGTTGGCCTGTTGTGGAGAATAGAGATGACATGACGTTGAGCTGTGGATGAGACAGAGACATTATTGAGACAGAACAGAGAGAGCAGACAGTGGAAGCATAATACAGCTACAGTCACTCACCTGAACCAGATAGGGATAGTTGACGTACAGAATGAACTGTAGTTTGCACTGAAAGATATATATATATCTGTCTAGACTGAGGGCACAGTGATCTGTTGAAAGGTACTAATGACTCGGGCTGATTTATTTCTGTGTCATTCTGTAATGTTAATCTTTTCAGCTTATTCTTTATCGGAATATAATGCCAGTGAATACAACTGAATACAATGCCTTTCGTGCCATTCATGCACTTGGCAAACCTCTTCTTCTGAACCTAGCCATAGAAGCTAGTCCAGTCTTTCACTAAACCCTGCACCCTGCACCCGCTCCCCATGTTATCCAGCCGACTGCATCGCCAACTATAACAACCAGATGGAGAGCAAACAGACCAACCTGATGGTGCCGGAGGGAGGAGTGTACGGAGACGTGGACCTCTCCAACAAGATCAACGAGATGAAGACTTTCAACAGCCCCAACCTGAAGGACGGACGCTTCGTAGGGCCGGGGGGACAGCCCACCCCCTACGCCACCACACAGCTCATCCAGTCGTCTATCCTGGGAAACAACATCAACACAGACAGAGACAGAGGGAGTGGAGGGGGAGGAGGAGGGGGAGGGGAGATAAACGAGAAACATGGCTGGAAACCCACCCCGGTTCAGCTGCAGAAGCAACAGGAAATGACCTCACAGCTCCACCAGTATAACATCATGGAGCAGAACAAGCTAAACAAGGGTGAGTGTGTGGTGGGAATCAGTGGAGGTCAGGAGGTCAAACCATAGCCGTCTTCCATCTTTGCTTTCTTCCCTTCTTTCTTTCCCTTTCTCCCTGTGGATTGGCCCACCATGCTGAAGAATGTTCCTTTTTCACTTGCTTCCCTGCTGCCCCCATTCAGTCATATCAACAGAGAACATCATCAGTCTCTCGCTCATTGTCTGTTATGCATTTACCTAACTCCTCTTTCCTCTCTGTGTTCATATTCTGTGTCAGGCCTGAGTTTCTGTCTTTTCTGTCTGGGTGGTTCTTCATGGGTGAAGTCTCGTAGCTACAGGTGTAAGGATTGTCTCCCGGTGTCAGGTATCTGAAGGAGAGATACAGGCACTGAACTGACAGGCACTGAACTAAACTGTCGTCACTTTGTTCTTACCTACAAAAGAGCTGCTGCTTAAGTAACACCGTTTTCAGCTTCGTCATGGTCTCTCGTATGGAACAGAAATTGCATGTCTTCTCTCTCAGCACTATTAGGAAGACAGCATCCAGCTATTGCATGATATTACACCAGACTGTTTGTTGTGACAGTTTGAAATTACATTTCAATTTATTAGAGGTGTATTACACACATTTAAACACATTGTTGGTTAAGATCATTATTTAGATGAGTTCATTAGTCCGTTAAACTCAAACAGTCTCTATGCACCTTTTGATATCATCATTTCCCCTTCTGTCCTTCATTTCCATAAGCTATCTGTACTTCTCTAATGCGATAATGTAGTGTATGCTGCCCTGCGACCCACCTTCATCATGCTTACCATCCTCCTCCTCTCCCCTACCAGACCACTACAGAGGAGGGGACAGTCCCATGCCTACCACCATCCCCTATAACCAGGCCCACGAGGCCCACACCGTGGGCTCCTACAACAGCTCTGACCGCGGCAGCAGCAGCACCTCCGGTGAGAGAGGGGGGAACGAGGGGGGACAGGGGCAGACGGGTTATCATATCCACAGCCAGATGGCTGATGTTTTACTGCGTGGATGTTTAGTGAATCGCTTTTGTTGTTGTTGTTTCCAGTTCATTATTATTTCTATAAACCACTTAATCACTTTCAACCCAGAAGCTCCATTTCTAAATCCTTATTTTCCTCAAAAGCAATATATCACAGTGGTACTAATAATGCGTGATGCTTTAAAATGGTAATTTGTATTAATTTCCATGTCAGTCTCTTGAAGAGAAATGAAAAGCAGATGCCTTCAGATGCCTCCAGTCTGTCATGTTCCAGTCTGTCTGGGTCCAGTCTGTCTGGTTCCAGTCTGTCATGTTCCAGTCTGTCTGGTTCCAGTCTGTCATGTTCCAGTCTGTCTGGGTCCAGTCTGTCTGGGTCCAGTCTGTCTGGGTCCAGTCTGTCAGTCTGTCTGGGTCCAGTCTGTCTTGTTCTAGTATGTCAGGTTCCAGTCTGTCATGTTCCAGTCTGTCTGGTTCCAGTCTGTCATGTTCCAGTCTGTCTGGTTCCAGTCTGTCATGTTCCAGTCTGTCTGGGTCCAGTCTGTCATGTTCCAGTCTGTCTGGTTCCAGTCTGTCATGTTCCAGTCTGTCTGGTTCCAGTCTGTGTCTGTTTCCAGTCTGTGTGTTTCAGTTTCCAGTCTGTGTCTGTTTCCAGTCAGTTTCCAGTCTGTGTGTGTTTCCATTATGTTTCCAGTCTGTGTGTGTTTCCATTCTGTGTCTGTTTCCATTCTGTTTCCAGTCTGTGTTTGTTTCCATTCTGTGTCTGTTTTCAGTCGGTTTGTGTTTCCAGTCTGTGTGTCTTTCCAGTCAGTTTCCAGTCTGTGTGTGTTTCCAGTCTGTGTGTGTTTCCAGTCAGTTTCCAGTCTGTGTGTGTTTCCAGTCTGTGTGTGTTTCCAGTCAGTTTCCAGTCTGTGTGTGTTTCAGTCTGTGTGTGTTTCCCAGTCTGTGTGTGTTTCCAGTATGTGTGTGTTTCCAGTCAGTTTCCAGTCTGTGTGTGTTTCCAGTCTGTGTGTGTGTTTCCAGTCTGTGTCTTTCCAGTCAGTTTCAAGTCTGTGTGTGTTTCCAGTCTGTGTGTTTCCAGTCCTGTGTTCCAGTGTGTCGTTTCCAGTCGTTTTTGTCAGTTTCCAGTTGTTTCCAGTCTGTGTGTTCATTCTGTTTTCCAGTCTGTGGTGTCAGTTTCCAGTCTGTGTTGTTGTGTTTCCAGTCTGTGTGTTTCCAGTCTTGGTGTTTCCAGTCTGTGTGGTCTCCAGTCTGGTGTGTTTCCAGTCTTGTAGTTCAGTTGGTGTTCCAGTCTGTGTGTCCAGTCTGTGTCAGTTTCCAGTCTGTTGTTCGTTTCCAGTCTGTGTGTCGTGTGTTTTCCAGTCGTTGTTTCCAGTCTGTGTTTCCAGTCTGTGTGTGTTTCCAGTCTGTGTCGGTGTCAGTTTCCAGTCTCCTGTGTGTTTCCAGTCTGTGTCAGTTTCCAGTCTGTTTTCCAGTCTGTGTCAGTTTCCAGTCTGTGTGTGTTCGTTGTCCAGTCTGTGTGTTCAGTTTTCCAGTCTGTGTCAGTTTCCAGTCTGTGTTCCAGTCGTGTCCAGTTTCCAGTCTGTGTGTCTTTCCAGTCTGTTCGTCTGTGTGTTCCAGTTGTTTCCAGTTGTGTCAGTTCCAGTCTGTGTGTTTCCAGTATGTGTGTGTTTCCAGTCTGGTGTCAGTTTCCAGTCTGTGTCAGTTTCCAGTCTGTGTGTGTTTCCAGTCTGTGTCGGTGTCAGTTTCCAGTCTGTGTTTCAGTATGTTGTTTTCCAGTCTGTGTCAGTTTCCAGTCTGTGTGTTTCCAGTTCGTTGTGTGTTTCCAGTCTGTGTGTCAGTTTCCAGTCTGTTCGTTTCCAGTCTGTGTGTCAGTTTCCAGTCGTGTTTCCAGTCTGTGGTCATGTTTTTCCAGTCTGTGTGTTCCAGTGTGTTTCCAGTCTGTGTGTGTCTCCAGTCTGTGTCAGTTTCCAGTCTGTGTCAGTTTCCAGTCTGTTTCCAGTCTGTGTCAGTTTCCAGTCTGTGTGTGTTTCCAGTCTGTGTCAGTTTCCAGTCTGTGTCAGTTTCCAGTCTGTGTGTGTCTCCAGTCTGTGTCAGTTTCCAGTCTGTGTCAGTTTCCAGTCTGTTTCCAGTCTGTGTCAGTTTCCAGTCTGTGTCAGTTTCCAGTCTGTTTCCAGTCTGTGTCAGTTTCCAGTCTGTGTCAGTTTCCAGTCTGTGTCAGTTTGTGTGTGTATACAAGTTGAATTTAGCGTGATCCATCCAAAACCTAGTTTGTGAGTGTTTTTCTGACTAGTGAGCTAGTCACTGGACATTTTATTTGGTTCTTCCTTGTTGCTCAGACAGTTTTTTGTAAAAAACATTAATTACCGTTCCCTTCATTCCTGCAAAGAGGAGGATAATCTCATCAGAGCTGCAGTATTTGTTTCTGGACAATAACTAATGACACACACATTCCAGAGGGCATGCAACACTGCCTCCATAACACCCAGGATCCATTCTGATATTGTATATGAAGTTCAGCTCATTTATGAGCAGCCCTCTGTGCTCACTGAGCTCACAGCTCATTGGTTTCAAATTCTAATTGGCTGCTGTTAATTGGCCTCTGATGTTTTTGGCTTTTTTTCAAGTTTTCTATTTTCTCTTGGCAATGGTGAACATTACAGTTGAAGAATGACTGTGTTTTTGATGGCATGGCTGGCATTAATTACAAATTGAGAGGTAATGAGCGTGGTGCGTTTTCGCGACATCCATAAAGAAAGGGTGTGCAATTAGCTGACATGCTCTCATGTTTTTTTTATCTGTGTAAATCTCGCACTGAAATTAGCCCTGTTTGTTCCTAACTTTGTATCTGCTGTCGATTTTATTAATTTCTCTTTTGATTTAATGAGCGTCAATAATGTAGATGGTTGAGAGACAGAGGAGGATGTGGGAGTGGGGATGTGTGTCTGTGTGTGTTTCCAGTCAGTTTCCAGTCTGTGTCTGTTTCCAGTCAGTTTCCAGTCTGTGTGGCTTTTTTTCATGTTTTCTATTTTCTCTTGGCAATGGTGAACATTACATTTGAAAAATTAGTGTGTTTTTGATGGCATGGCTGGCATTAATTACAAATTGAGAGCTAATGAGCGTGGTGCGTTTTCGCGACATTCATAAAGAAAGGGGGTGCCATTAGCTGACATGCTCTCGTGTATTATTACTTTTTTTTAATCTGTGTAAATCTCGTGCTGAAATTAGCCCTGTTTGTTCCTAAATTTGTATCTGCTGTCGATTTATTATTTTCTCCGCTGATTTAACGAGCATCAATAATGTAGATGGTGGAGAGACAGAGGAGGTGGGAATGTGTGTCTGCGTGTTTCTGACTGAAGGAGTTCTTTGTTCACGTTTGAGCAGGGAGTCAAGGTCAGAAGAAGGGAGTGCGTACCCCCAAACAACCCAAACAGAGCACAATGAACTGGGCTGACCTACTGCCTCCTCCCCCTGCTAACCCACCCCCCTGCCGCAACATGGAGGAGTACTCCCTGTCCATGGACGAGAGGTGGGACATGTTTACACACACACACACACACACACACACACACACACACACACACACCTCCCTGCCACTCGACTCTTTCCTTTCATTTACTGAAAGAGTGTCAAACCTGCCCTAAGGGTTTTTTTTTCTATTGTGTGTCAATGCTAGGTAAATGTCAAACCTTTTCCTTTACATGTCTACCTTGATAGCAGCACAACATGAATATGTACTAGCTACATTGTTCCAGCTATGAATGTTACTGTCACGTTGAGTGACATCCAACTAATCAGCGTGTTTCCCTGTGTTGACAGCTATGACCCAGACATGCAGTGCTCCCTGCCCCCCTCCCGAATGTACCTGCAGCCAGATGAACTGGAAGAGGAGGAGGAGGAGGAGGAGGAGGAGGAGGAGGAGATGGAGAGGGGTCCCACTCCACCCATCAGAGGGGCTGCCTCGTCCCCCGCCGCGGTGTCCTACAGTCATCAGTCCACGGCCACCCTCACCCCCTCGCCCCTGGAGGACCTGCAGCCCATGCTCCAAGACACACCAGACAGCATGGGCTCTGGACACGAGCGCAGGTACTGGGAGGTGTTATACTGTATAAAATGGAACTCTGATTGGCTGATATACAGTGGGTATAATAAGTATTCACCCCCCCTTAGATCTTTTCACATTATATTGTGTTACAAAGTGGGATTTAAATAATTTAATTGTGATTTTTTTTGTCATTGATCTACACAAGATACTCCATAATGTTAAAGTGAAAATAACATTATACAAATGTAAAATAAAAGACAAATAATAATATCTAAAATATAGTCGTTGCATAAGTATTCACCCCATAAATTAGTTCAGTTAGACCTAAATGACAGAGTGAAAAGTATACAGAACCAAATATACTGAATCAGAACATTCCAAAACATGCATCCTCTATGCAACAAGGCACTAAATTCATGCAAAAAAATTTATTGCCTCAGGGTTAGGGTTAGATCTTATCTATTCAAGGTGTATTAGTGATTTATTTTTCATTCATTTTTGGTGTAGATCGTTGGCAAAAAAGTACACAAAATCCATTTTAATCCCACTTTGTAAGACAATAAAGGGGTGATACCCACTGTAGTAATGATTTTAATAGTCTGTACAAAAAATGCAATCATATTTTATAATTGATTTATATAATTGATTTCTCATACCCTACATTAAGAACATGTCTCCTGCTGTTTCAGACGCCATGCAGTGAGCCCCCCTCCCCGGCCCCTCTCCCCCTCACACACCTACGGCTACATCTCAAGCCCCCTGGCTCTGGACACAGACGGCATGGAGGAGCAGGAGATGTTGGAGGAAGAGGAGGAGGAGGATGGGGACGAGACAGACGCGGAGGTGGCCAAGGTGCACCACCACCCTCACCACCCCCACCACCCCCAGCAGATGCACCCCAGGAGGCTGCTGCTGCGGGGCCTGGAGCAGACGCCAGCCTCCAGCGTGGGGGACCTGGAGAGCTCTGTGACGGGCTCCATGATCAACGGCTGGGGTTCGGCCTCCGAGGAGGACAACGCCTCTTCAGGACGCTCCAGCGCCGTCAGCTCCTCAGACGGATCCTTCTTCACAGACGCCGACTTTGCCCAGGCTGTGGCCGCTGCTGCAGAGTACGCAGGCCTCAAGGTGGCCAAGTACCCCAACCCCACGCAAGGCCAGGAGGGAGGCCCCGGAGGTAAGCACATATATTCCTCACTAATATGATATTTTATCCTTATCAAGAAGAGTATAAAACAAGATCATGAGCACCTTAATTCCTTAGTCTAAGACGTTGGGGGAGTGGGGGTGCTAAGCTGACATATGGCATTGATTTATGATGGTCATACTATGGATCATTTAGCTATTTTAACAAGAGTGTGCAAAGCTGTCATCAAGGCAAATGGTGGCTATTTGAAGAATCTCAAATATAAAATATATTTTGATTTGTTTAACACTTTTTTGGTTACTACATGATTCCATATGTGTTATTTCATAGTGTTGATGTCTTCACTATTATTCTACAATGTAGAAAATAGTACAAATAAAGAAAAACCCTTGAATGAGTAGGTGTTGTAAAACTTTGGACCAGTAGTGTAGATTTTAGCCTTTTCTACTAAAGCCTATAGAAATGCTTTGAATTACAAATTCATAAATGGCAAAAAGGACAGTCAAAAATTAAATCATAAGAAACAAGGTTTTGAAGTGTCTGTCCTAAATCTAAGATATATATTTTTTTAATCTCAGGAAATACTTTTTATACATATTTAATTCCAAACTTCCATTTGTTTTTTATAAACCGGTATCGGTTACCTTCAGACGAGTCCCTTGACACTTGTGGGGGCCGTAGAGCAAAACGGAGAACGCCATCGTGTTCGTGAGAGTCTCCCCTTTCCATAGAGTAGTCAGAATAGTTTGGACGCCGTTTGGACGCTACAGACAAACACCGCTCTAGCTCTGCCACCTTTCACCGCAGATGCGGATATCTCTAACTTAAACTGACTGATTTTTATGGGGATTTTTTGTTTATGTAATTTAGATTGACGCACTTGTGTGAATCGACTCTAGGGGGTTAACTTTTATGAATCCCTTATTCTGCAAGCCCGCTGACAGAGGGACAACCTTTTCATGGTTTCATGCGCCTTACCAAATGTGTCTTTCCCTTCAGCACGAAAGTATCAAATGACCCCTTCAGGCCACCGTCCTGGCAGCCCCCTGTCCACAGACAGTAACATGAGCACGGCCAACATGCAGAAGAGGCCTCCTAAGAAGCAGAAACAGCACACTGCAGCGGGCCTCCCAGGGCTCCAGCGACGAGAGGCCTACCCTGAAGGTACAGCACAGGGCAACACATACTCTGCTCATTCATCACTAAAGTACTGTATGAGGTGGAACGTCATAACAAGGACTGGAGATGTACCATGGATCCATTTGTAATTACATTTACATTTACGTAATTTAGCAGACGCTCTTATCCAGAGCGACTTACAAATTGGTGCATTCACCTTATAGCCAGTGGGATAACCACTTTACAATATATATATTTATTTTTTTGGGGGGGTGGGGTAAGGGGGGGTAGAAGGATTACTTTATCCTATCCCAGGTATTCCTTAAAGAGGTGGGGTTTCAAGTGTCTCCGGAAGGTGGTGAGTGACTCCACTGTCCTGGCGTCGTGAGGGAGCTTGTTCCACCATTGGGGTGCCAGAGCAGTGAACAGTTTTGACTGGGCAGCGGGAACTGTGCTTCCGCAGAGGTAGGGGGGCCAGCAGGCCAGAGGTGGATGAACGCAATGCCCTCGTTTGGGTGTAGGGACTGATCAGAGCCTGAAGGTACAGAGGTGCCGTTCCCCTCACAGCTCCGTAGGCAAGCACCATGGTCTTGTAGCAGATGCGAGCTTCAACTGGAAGCCAGTGGAGTGTGCGGAGGAGCGGGGTGACGTGAGAGAACTTGGGAAGGTTGAACACCAGACGGGCTGCGGCATTCTGGATGAGTTGGAGGGGTTTAATGGCACAGGCAGGGAGCCCAGCCAACAGCGAGTTGCAGTAATCCAGACGGGAGATGATTAGGTGACTGGATTAGGACCTGTGCCGCTTCCTGTGTAAGGTAGGGTCGTACTCTCCGAATGTTGTAAAGCATGAACCTACAGGATCGGGTCACCGCCTTGATGTTAGCGGAGAACGACAGGGTGTTGTCCAGGGTCACGCCAAGGTTCTTTGCACTCTGGGAGGAGGACACAACGGAGTTGTCAACCGTGATGGCGAGATCATGGAACGGGCAGTCCTTCCCCGGGAGGAAGAGCAGCTCCGTCTTGCCGAGGTTCAGCTTGAGGTGGTGATCCGTCATCCACACTGATATGTCTGCTAGACATGCAGAGATGCGATTCGCCACCTGGTTATCAGAAGGGGGAAAGGAGAAGATTAGTTGTGTGTCGTCTGCGTAGCAATGATAGGAGAGGCCATGTGAGGATATGACAGAGCCAAGTGACTTGGTGTATAGCGAGAATAGGAGAGGGCCTAGAACTGAGCCCTGAGGGACACCAGTGGTGAGAGCACATGGTGCGGAGACAGATTCTCGCCACGCCACTTGGTAGGAGCGACCTGTCAGGTAATCTAGTGTTCTACTGCTGTAATACCTCATAATGAGTACTAGAGTTGTACCATGAATCCATTTGTAATCTAGTCCCCTAATACTGTAATACCTCATAATGAGGACTGTAGTTGTACCATGGTTCCATCTCTATTCTAGTGTTCTACTGCTGTAATACCTCATAATGAGTACTAGAGTTGGACCATGAATCCAACTGTATTCTAGTCCCCTAATACTGTCATACCTCACTACCCAGCCCCACCCATATGATGTATGGCATGGTGCCTGCCTGAGACACAGTGTCCAGGAGTGAGTGAGTGTGAGGGTGTCATAAGTCAGAGCTTTAATCATCTTCCCCTCGTGTGTGCGTGGCATCACTTCCAATCTGTGGCGGTGCTGAGCAGAACAGACTGGGGTAGATGGGAAGTATGGAGTGGGCCTGTCTCAGGGGACTGCTGTCCAGCTCCAGCCCGTTCTGCTGCTGCTGAAACTGGGATGTCTTCCACTCCAGCCAGCCACTAATGAAATTACCCCCAGGTGCTCTGGCTCTTATTGAAGTGGCCCCCTGGCCTCCACTCCAAGGAGCCAGGAATAAACAAAGCGGGGGCTAACTACAGAGTTACAACGCACAGCACTGGGAATATGCTTATCCTTGTCAAAGTGAAGAATGTTAACTTTAAGGGGATTTATTGTTGCTTTTTTTGTGGCCTATGTGTTAGTTTTAGTTCTGTTTTCCTCTGGGATTTAGCTTTTGTGTGTGTGAATGGATGTGTGCGTGTAGGTGCTTGTGTATGTGCATTGTCTCTGTCTGTGTGTGTGTGCATGTATGTGTGTGTGTGTGTGTGTGTGTGTGTGTGTAAGTGCATGTGTCTGTGCATGTATGTGTGCGTGTGTGTGAATGGGTGCGTGTGTGTAGGTGCGTGTGTCTGTGTGTGTGTGTGTGTGTGTGTGCATGTATGTGTGCGTGTGTGTGAATGGATGCGTGCGTGTGTCTGTGCATTCTCTCTGTGTGTGTGTGTGTGTGCATATGTGTGTGTGTGTGTGTGTGTGTGTGTGTGTGTGTGTGTGTGTGTGTGTGTGTGTGGAGCTGGCTCTCCTCTTACTGTCAGGTGTCCTTGTGTGTTGAAAGTACTTGACAGGGAGATTTAATATCCAGCCCCACTCTGAGCCAGACCAGCTATTACTGCACCAAATCCCCCCTCCCCTCATCCCCCCTCCCCTCATCCCCCCTCCCCTCATCCCCCCCTCCCCTCATCCCCCCCTCCCCTCATCCTGCCTGCCTTCCACCCCATCCCCTCATCCCCCCTCCCCTCATCCTGCCTGCCTGCCTTCCACCCCATCCCCTCATCCCCCCTCCCCTCATCCTGCCTGCCTGCCTTCCACCCCATCCCCTCATCCCCCCTCCCCTCATCCTGCCTGCCTGCCTTCCACCCCCATCCCCTCCCTTTGAAGTAATCTCTCCATCCCTCACTCTGCTCTCTTCCAGCTCCCTCCATCTCTCCTCCCTCCCTCCTCCCTCACTCCCCCTCTTTGTTCCCTATGTGCGTCTGAGAGGAGTGAGGAGGAGACCGACAGTTCTCCAGCCCTGGCTGTCTGTCTATCGGTCTAGTCTGGTCGCTGATTGTATTCTATCTAAATATATTGTTTTTCATTTGGAAGTTATTTCCTTGCCCTGTAGTGGTGGGCTTGGGGCTGAGTGAGTGACGTAGAGGTGATAGGGGAGGAGAGAGGTGATATGGGAGGAGAGAGGTGACAGGGGAGGAGAGAGGTGACAGGGGAGGAGAGAGTTCACAGGGGAGGAGAGAGGTGACAGGGGAGGAGAGAGATGACAGGGGAGGAGAGAGGTGATAGGGGAGGAGAGAGATGAAGGGAGGAGAGAGATGACAGGGAGGGAGAGAGTTGTCATGGGAGGATTTGTGGGTGCTAGGGGAGGAGAGGTGATAGGTGAGTGAGAGAGGTGTAGGGGGGAGGAGAGGTGATGTGGAGGAAGAGAGTGAGGGGAAGGAGAGAGGGTGACAGGGAGGAGAGAGGGGACAGGGAGGAGAGAGGTGACAGGGGAGGAGGAGAGCGGTGACGGGGAGGAGAGAGAGTGATAGGGGAGGGGAGAGGTGATAGGGAGGGAGAGAGTGATAGGGGAGAGAGAGGTGATAGGGGAGGAGAGAGGTGACAGGGGAGGAGAGAGGTGACAGGGGAGGTGAGAGGTGACAGGGGAGGAGAGAGGTGACAAGGGAGGAGAGAGATGACAGGGGAGGAGAGAGGTGATAGGGGAGGAGAGAGGTGACAGGGGAGGAGAGAGATGACAGGGAGGGAGAGAGGTGATAGGGGAGGAGAGAGGTGATAGGGGAGGAGAGAGATGATAGGGGAGGAGAGAGGTGATAGGGGAGGAGAGAGGTGACGGGAGGAGAGAGGTGACGGGAGGAGAGAGGTGACAGGGGAGGAGAGAGGTGACAGGGGAGGAGAGAGGGGACAGGGGAGGAGAGAGGTGACAGGGGAGGAGAGAGGTGACTGGGAGGAGAGAGGTGATAGGGGAGGGGAGAGGTGATAGGGGAGGGGAGAGGTGATAGGGGAGGAGAGAGGTGATAGGGGAGGAGAGAGGTGACAGGGGAGGGGAGAGGTGACAGGGGAGGGGAGAGGTGACAGGGGAGGAGAGAGGTGATAGGGGATGAGAGAGGTGACAGGGGAGGAGAGAGATGACAGGGGAGGTGAGAGGGGAGGTGAGAGGTGACAGTGGAGGAGAGAGGTGATAGGGGAGGAGAGAGGTGATAGGGGAGGAGAGAGGTGATAGGGGAGGAGAGAGGTGACAGGGGAGGAGAGAGGTGACAGGGGAGGGGAGAGGTGACAGGGGAGGAGAGAGGTGACAGGGGAGGAGAGGTGATAGGGGAGGAGAGAGATGATAGGGGAGGAGAGAGGTGATAGGGGAGGAGAGAGGTGACAGGAGAGGAGAGAGGTGACAGGGGAGGAGAGAGGTGACAGGGGAGGAGAGAGTGACAGGGGAGGAGAGAGGTGACGGGGAGGAGAGAGGTGACAGGGGAGGAGAGAGGTGACAGGGGAGGGGAGGAGGGTGACAGGGGAGGGGAGAGGTGACAGGGGAGGAGAGAGGTGACAGGGGAGGAGAGAGGTGATAGGGGAGAGGTGATAGGGGAGGAGAGAGGTGATAGGTGAGGAGAGAGGTGATAGGGGAGAGGTGATAGGGGAGGAGAGAGGTGACAGGGGAGGAGAGAGGTGACGGGGGAGGAGAGAGGGTGATAGGGGAGGGGTGATAGGGGAGGAGAGAGGTGATAGGGGAGAGGTGATAGGGGAGGAGAGAGGTGACAGGGGAGGAGAGAGGTGATAGGGGAGAGGTGATAGGGGAGGAGAGAGGAGACAGGGGAGGTGAGAGGTGATAAGGGAGGAGAGAGGTGATAGGGTAGGAGAGAGGTGACAGGGGAGGAGAGAGGTGATAGGGGAGGAGAGAGGTGATAGGGTAGGAGAGAGGTGACAGGGGAGGAGAGAGGTGACAGGGGAGGACAGGGGAGGAGAGAGGTGATAGGGGAGGAGAGAGGTGATAGGGTAGGAGAGAGGTGACAGGGGAGGAGAGAGGTGACAGGGGAGGAGAGAGGTGATAGGGGAGGAGAGAGGTGATAGGGTAGGAGAGAGATGACAGGGGAGGAGAGAGGTGATAGGGTAGGAGAGAGGTGACGGGGAGGAGAGAGGTGATAGGGGAGGGGAGAGGTGACAGGGGAGGAGAGAGGTGATGGGAGGAGAGAGGTGACAGGGGAGGAGAGAGGTGATAGGGGAGGAGAGAGGTGACAGGGGAGGAGAGAGATGACGGGGAGGAGAGAGGTGACAGGGGAGGGGAGAGGTGACAGGGGATTGGAGAGGTGACAGGGGAGGAGAGAGGTGACAGGGGAGGAGAGAGGTAGAAGGGAACACCCCTTTGGGTATAAATCTGACCATGTCAATTTCAGGCACACACACAGACATGTTTTCAAATACAGTGCATTCAGAAAGAATTCAGACCCCTTGACTTTTTCCACATTTTGTTAAAAAAAATTTTTATCCCCCCTCATCAATCTACACACAATAGATATGTTTCTACAACTTGATTGAAGTCCACCTCTGGTAAATTCAATTGACATGATTTGGAAAGGCACACACCTGTCCATATAAGGTCCCACAGTTGACAGTGCATGTCAGAGCAAAAACCAAGCCATGAGGTCGAAGGAATTGTCCGTAGATCTCTGAGACAGGATTGTGTCGAGGCACATTTCTGCAGCATTGAAGGTCCCCAAGAACACAGTGGCCTCCATCATTCTTAAATGGAAGAAGTTTGGAACAACCAAGACTCTTCCTAGAGCTGGCCGCCCAGCCAAACTGAGCAATCAGGGGAGAAGGGCCTTGGTCAGGGAGGTGACCAAGAACCTGATGGTCTCTCTGACAGAGCTCCAGAGTTCCTCTGTGGAGATGGGAGAACCTTCCAGAAGGACAATGATCTCTGCAGCACTCCACCAATCAGGCCTTTATGGTAGAGTGGCCAGACGGAAGCCACTCCTCAGCAAAAGGCACATGACAGCCTGCTTGTCTGATGAAACGAAGATTGAACTCTTTGGCCTGAATGCTAAGCGTCACGTCTGGAGGAAACCTGGCACCATCCCTACGGTGAAGCATGGTGATGGCAGCATCATGCTGTGGGGATGTTTTTCAGCGGCAGGGACTGGGAGACTAGTCAGGATCGAGGGAAAGATGAACAGAGCAAAGTACAGAGAGATCCTTGATGACAACCTGCTCCAGATCGCTCAGGACCTCAGACTGGGGCAAAGGTTCACCTTCCAACAGGACAACGACCCTAAGCACACAGCCAAGACAACGCAGGAGTGGCTTCAGGACAAGTCTCTGAATGTCCTTGAGTGGCCCAGCCAGAGCCTGGACTTGAACCCGATCGAACATCTCTGGAGAGACCTGAAAATAGCTGTGTAGCAACGCTCCCCATCCAACCTGACAGAGCTTGAGAGGATCTGCAGAGAACAATGGGAGAAACTCCCCAAATACAGGTGTGCCAAGCTTGTAGCGTCATACCCAAGAAGACTCGAGGCTGTAATCGCTGCCAAAGGTGCTTCAACAAAGTACTGAGTAAAGGGTCTGAATACTTATGTAAATGTTATATTTACGTTTTCTTTTAAGCTGTTTTTGCTTTGTCATTATGGGGTATTGTGTGTAGATTGATGAGGGGAAAAAACTATTCAATCCATTTTAGAATAAGGCTGTAACGTAACAAAATGTGGAAAAAGTCAAGGGGTCTGAATACTTTCCGAATGCACTGTATACTGTAGTGTACCCCCCACATGGCAATTTCACACCCTGTTTGTTTATTTCTTCATGTATTTATTTCCATAGTAGTATGATGATGGGCCCCTCTGCTAGCTGTCCCCCCCTGATAGCTGTCCCCCCCTGCTGTCCAGTCCATTGGAGGTCAGAGCGAGAGCAGCAATCCACCCAGGACAGGACAGGACAGCCATAAATACCCAGAAATAGCAGCGGTTAACACTCTCCATCCCCCTTTCCCCTCTTTGACCTGCTCATTTCTGTCCTGTTTGCTCAGTGGATGGTGAGATGGTTTGAGGTTATTTCCCATGTGGTTCACATGCGTGTCTAATGCCTGTTTTAACCTCCACACTCAAGTTAACCCTTTCCATTCCCTCTTTGCTAGTATCTTCAATTAGCAAACACATTTATCCATACATTCAGTACAGGTGTCCAATGTGGGAATCAAACCTACAAACCTGGTGGTGTCCAACCAACTGAGCCATCGTTGAGGCCTTCTTTAATGCCCAGGGGCCGTATCCACAAAGCGTCTCAGAGTAGAAAGTTGGTTGTAAGTGCTGAGAATAGAGACGTTTTACTCCTACTCTGATGGGTCAAAATAAAAGCTATGCATGAAGCCTCTTTAGTCATAAGAGTCCCACCTAGTCGATAGATATTCAGGAGACCTCAGCTGTCCTAACCAGTTAAGAGTTACCAGCAGGTGTCTTGATATTAGAAAAAGGCAGCGAGTCAGTGGTTCCAGCACTAGAGCAAGCAAATTGCTTTAGAGTTGTTAAAAGAATGTTTTGATATTTCTAGATGACCTATAAATAGTCTAGACCTACATGCAACAGCATCTCTTGCACTTTTGATAATGATTTCAGGAGCCCTAATTCATAGGATATGCCTAATTACACTAAGCTAGGGCCTCCCGAGTGGCGCAGCGGTCTAAGGTACTGCATCGCAGTGCTTGAGGCGTCACTACAGACGCGGGTTCCATCCCAGGCTGTGTCACAACCGACCGTGACCGGGAGTCCCACAGGGCAGCGCACAATTGGCCCAGCGTCGTCCGGGTTAGGGGAGGGTTTGGCCGGAACTTTGGCGACAAACCTCCCGCTTTACTTGTCTCATCGCGCACTAGCAACTCCTTGTGGCCGGGCGCCTGCAGGTTGACCTCGGTCGTCAGTTGAATGGGGTTTCCTCCGACACGTTGGTTGGATTAAGCAGGCGGGTGTTAAGGAGCGCGGTTAGGCGGGGCATGTTTCGGAGGACGCATGACTTGACCTTCGCCTCTCCCGAGCCCGTTGGGGAGTTCCAGCGATGAGACAAGATCGTAATTGGATATGACGAAAAAGGGGGGTATTTGTTATTTCAAGTTATCCCTTTGGAGTGCAATATCACAATGTTAAAAAAATATGCCTAAATTGGGCATGCCTATAAGTTGGGCAGTTCAAAGCATCTATGGCCTATGTTATAGACATGCTCCGGAACTTTGGCGACAAACCTCCCGCTTTGGGCTGGATGTGTCAATGTTTAGTTTATACATGCATAATCTATGAGCAGAATAGCTGTCTTACCTCAGTTAGCCACAAAATCCCTAGTTTGAAAGCAAATGTTTTCCTGGAAGCTGTGCTGCGCCATTTTCTCTACATTTTCCTCCACGCGGCACAGCCCCCTAGCAATTCAAGTTCAACCAATGAGCTTCATCCCCTCGCCATATGAGTGACAGTTAGAAAGATGCACAGCATGCACCCACAGCATAGTGAGAGAGAGAGCAATGATGTGGTGCACATATCTGCACATATGTGACGTGGTACGCCATTTTTGGGGACTGCTTTTGGCTCGTGAATTCTACTTTCAGAACTACTGGCTAAAAGGTATACAAAAGTACCAGAGAATCCCTTTAACTTTGATTGTGTCAGTAAAAATTATAGACCTTTTCAAACATTATGCAACATTATCTGCAAGTGATTTGAAGCATATTGTGCCAAAGCGAATTAAAGTTGTTGAATGGGAGTGGCGAGTGTGATGATATAACGGTAATATTATAAAAAAAATCAGCTTTTAACAACCATCGTACTGTATGATTCATTGCAATATGCCTATCAGATTGGTTTGAAAAGGTCATGCATGCCAACATATTAATCAAGAATTAGGCAAAGTGATCGGGTCAGGCGAAAATTATATCAGACTTTTTTACCATTGCGACATTTGACATTGTACAGTCACATTCACCGTGGTTTTCTCACGCGTGCTATAGCGTTCACAGCTGCCCATGCCTCATCGTGATTGGTTATTCCCCATCATTTGCAAGTTGGTCAATGAGCATCATCAGTATCTTTCCTTTGCGGTACGTCGATCATGACCACCAGCTGAGATAAACTTTTATGAGTTGATTTTACTCCTGGTTCAGAGTTTGTGTGAGCAGTGTCTTAACGTCATCCTAAAACCTACTCTGAGCTGAGAGATTTTTAAGTCTTAAAAGAGGTTTTAACAGGATTCCTAGGACCTTTTCTGAGATGCTTTGTGGATACGGGCCCTGCTCTTGAAACCTGGCCTCTGTCCTCACCTCCATGAGTCCATAAATCTGCCTGGTTGTCCTACCTCCTCATGTAGTGGGCTATATCTCACAGACAGTGGCATTGATCGGATCCTGATTGAGGTAGGAGGCAGGGGAGATATAAAAAAAACTGCAGACGCTTTTCCGCCGTATGATATCGACTGACCCATTGTGTATTCAGGAGGTGTGTGTGTTGTGTGTATATTAGACCTTCCTGATTCGACCAAAGCGCCACAGAAAAAAATGCACTGGCAACTCCTTTAGCCCCCGAGTGTGTAAAATGTTCCAACAGTGTGTGATTCAGCTCACAGTATACACAGTGGAACAGTGGTGTTAAGGTGTTAAACATGGTGGACATTGGGATGCTGGGTGTGACCGGCGTTGGGATGCTGGGTGTGACCGGCGTTGGGATGCTGGGTGTGATTGGCGTTGGGATGCTGGGTGTGACCGGCGTTGGGATGCTGGGTGTGAGCGGCGTTGGGATGCTGGATGTGAGCGGCGTTGGGATGCTGGATGTGAGCGGCGTTGGGATGCTGGATGTGAGCGGTGTTGGGATGCTGGGTGTGAGCGGCGTTGGGATGCTGGGTGTGAGCGGCGTTGGGATGCTGGATGTGAGCGGTGTTGGGATGCTGGGTGTGAGCGGCGTTGGGATGCTGGGTGTGAGCGGCGTTGGGATGCTGGATGTGAGCGGCGGCAATGGCTGGTTGCTATGTTTATTAACTTTGTTATCCTGTGTGGATTACAGCCGGGCCGGCCGACAGAGCTGAGCCATCACTCAACTGGGAGGCTGATTAAAAGATGAAAAGCCATCGATCGCGAGCAGAGCAGACAAGGCTTTTCTCAGGCAGCGTGTTTTGTTTGGACGGGTGTGTGTGTGTGTGTGTGTGTGTGTGTGTGTGTGTGTGTGTGTGTGTGTGTGTGTCTAGAGGTGTGAGCGCTCAGGCAGCCCACCAGTCAGGCTCATATGAATAATGGCTCAAGGACAGACATCATTGATTCATCGACAGGGGAAGTGGAGCGGGTCAGAGAGCCAGCTGTTGACCGTTCACGCTCCCTGCCAACCGCTGCTCTCGGCGTTCAGCGGCGCGCGTCCGCCAGCGCGCGGAGCGCGCAGCGGAGCGCGCGAAGCGCGCGCGGGGAGACAAGAGCGAGGCGCCGCAGCGCGCGGCGAGCACAACAGCGCGCGCCAGCGGAGCGCGCGCCAGGCGAGACGCGGCCGCAGCGGAGAGAGGCGAGGAGAGACGAGACGAGAGAGCAGCGAGCGCGAGCGCAGCGCGCGCCAGCCAGCGCGACCGAGCCGCAAGAGGAGGCGACGACAGCGGGCGCAGAGCGGGCGCCGCCAGCGCGAGCGCGCCGCAAGGCGACCGCCAAGCGCGCGAGCGCCGCAGCGCGCGGGCGCGCCAGCGCGCGCGCAGAAGAGCCGCGCGAGGCGAGCGCGCGCGCGCCACCAGCAGCGAGCGCGCGAGACAGGAGAGCGCGCCGCAGCCGGCGCGACCGAAAGAGGCGAGGCAGCAGAAAGCGGCCGAGCAGCGCCGAGCCAGCGCGAGGCGCGAGGCAGACGCGTGGCGGCCAGGAGCGCGCGCGCGCACGCGCGCAGGCGACGCAGCGGCGAGCGCAGACAGCGCGAGAGAGGCAGCAGAGAGCGGCGCCGCAGCGCGCGCAGCCGAAGCGAGCCGAGCGAGCAGCCAGAGCGAGGAGAGAGAGCAAGCAGAGCGAGCGAGCGCGGAGACAGAGGCGAGAGCGACGGAAAGAGAGGAGAGAGACAGAAGAGAGCGGAGAGAAAGAGCGAGAGAGGAAGAAGACGAGGAGAAGAAAGAGAGCGCGAAGAACGAGAGGGGCGAGAGAGAAAAGGGGAAAGGGACGGGCGGACGAAAGGAGCGAGAGAGACGAGGAGGGAGAGGCAAGAGAGAGAGGGGAGCGGGGCAAAGGAGGGAGAGAGCACGCGAGAGGGAGGAGAAGAGAGGGGAAGCAGGGGCGAGAGAAAGAAGAGGGAAGAAGAAAGAGGAGAGGGGAAAAAGGGAGGGAGAGAAGAAAAGACGAGAGAGACTCCTCTCTCCTCCCCTCTCTCTCCTCCATCTCTCTCTCCTCCATCTCTCTCTCTCCTCCCTCTCTCACTTCGTCCCCTAACTCTCTCTCCTCTTTCCGCTTTATCTCACACCTCTACTTCTCCTCTATCTCCCCTTCCTTTCCTCTCTCTCACCTCTTTCCCTTCACTCCTCTCTCCCTCCCTCCATATTCCATTTATCCCTCTCTTCCTGCCATTCCCCCTTACCTCCCCACTATCTCCCCTCTCTGTCGTCTCAGTCCAGAGTATTTCCGCTCGGCCAGGCTGTGCGTAGACAGTAAAGTCCAGAGTGCTTCCGCTCAGCCAGGCTGTGTGAACACAGTACATCTGTGTTTGTGTCTCACCTTGCACGTGCAAGACAACCGAGTGATAGTTCATGTACAGTATATTAGCTGGTGGCTAGGCTGTAATGGCTCTAATGGCTAGGCTCTAATGGTTAGGCTGTAATCCAGAGCACATTGACTCATGTCACTTACATCACACACCCTAACATGAGTTTTGAACTGAGTAACTAATGTCCTCCTCTTCCTGTGTTTATCTTCCAGATCTGCCCCCTCCCCCCATCCCCCCTCCAGCGGGGCTCAAGTCCCCCACACACCCCTCCAAGACAGCCCTGGAGGCCCGGGGGATTATGTCCCCCAAGGCAGGCGAGGGCAGGGACAGGAGAGGGGGCTCAGGAGGAGGGTACCGGCCACGGGAGGGATCGGACCCCCGTACCAGCTCCTCGGAGCGCCGGGAGACCCAGGACAGACAGAAGATCCCCCGCACAGGGAAAGGGAATAAACAGGAGGGGAGCAGCACCAAGGCACGCCAACACCCAGGTACAGAGAACACCTAGGGACATGGAACACCCAGGTACAGAGAACACCTAGGGACATGGAACACCCAGGGACAGAGAACACCTAGGGACATGGAACACCCAGGTACAGAGAACACCTAGGGACATGGAACACCCAGGTACAGAGAACACCTAGGGACATGGAACACCCAGGTACAGAGAACACTTAGGTACATGGAACACCCAGGTACAGAGAACACCTAGGGACATGGAACACCCAGGTACAGAGAACACCTAGGGACATGGAACACCCAGGGACAGAGAACACCTAGGGACATGGAACACCCAGGTACAGAGAACACCTAGGTACATGGAACACCCAGGTACAGAGAACACCTAGGGACATGGAACACCCAGGTACAGAGAACACCTAGGGACATGGAACACCCAGGTACAGAGAACACCTAGGGACATGGAACACCCAGGGACAGAGAACACCTAGGGACATGGAACACCCAGGTACAGAGAACACCTAGGTACATGGAACACCCAGGTACAGAGAACACCTAGGTACATGGAACACCCAGGTACAGAGAACACCTAGGGACATGGAACACCCAGATACAGAGAACACCTAGGGACATGGAACACCCAGGTACAGAGAACACCTAGGGACATGGAACACCCAGGGACAGAGAACACCTAGGTACATGGAACTAGTGGCATTTAACTTAGCAGAATATTGTTATTTCTGCCCTGTAGACATGCCACTGACAGTGCCACTTTAGATTGTGAATAGCTGTATGTACTGTGTTGAAGGACATGAGTTCTCAGTGTGTCCTCTCTCCTGTTTTGTCCCAGGACCAGAGGACATCCTGCCCTACAGCCGCCCCTCCTTCCCCACGGTCCACAGTCCCCGAGACAGGGACCCCAGCTCCTCCAGCTCCATGTCCTCCCGGGGCTCAGGGGGCCGGCGGAGAGGAGAGGGGGGGCCAGGGGCCCGCAGGAACCCCAACGACATGGGCCTCAACACCATGGGGGCCTTCCAGCCAGGAGACGATGACTTAGAGGTACAGCACATGTCGACTGGCTAACTCATAGTGTTACTGCAGATTTAGTATTGGTGGATTACTGACCACTGGCTTAGATTACATGCTGTGTATATATTTGTATGCTTACTGAAATGTCTGTTGTGTTGTCCTGTTCCCCAGATGGTGGAGAGCTGAAGTACTAGACGGGATGAACAGGAAGTACTGTCCAGAATGAAGTTTCCCGAGAGGAGGAATGCCGTGATCGTTCCCCTGCCCATTTGAAATATCTCAGTATCTCACCATCATGTTTGCTGACAAATACTGTACATCAATTGTGTTTCTATACATCTGGAAAACAAACCAATTGTTTTTCTAATTTATCATTTTCTATGTCCATTTTAAAGAAAAAAAAAGTCAAGCAAAATACCCAGTAGTATGTAATGTTTTATTAAGGTGATAGGGAGTGCAGTGGACTCCAGGTATTGACACAATCCACTTGGCTTGCCTCTGCCCTTACAGCCAGGTGTTACTGTAATGCCATGAGTTACAAGCAGAGGGGTGGACTGTCTTGTAAATATACCTGTACACATAATGTCCTTTTGTATAGCGTACTTCAAATTTGTCTTCCTTGTTTTATTTCGCAAATTATAATTTTATCATGCCAGTAAATATAATTATTTTATTGTTTTCCATCCATGTTGTAAATTGCTATATTATTTAGCCGCCCCAAGAAAGTGCCACTGTTCTTTTTCTTTTTGTAATGCACTGTTATATTTTTGGGTCGTTGTCAATGTTTGTTATTTGTTTTACTTTGGTTTTAAAAGCACAATCACTAAACTTTATTTTAAACCATTTTATCTATTAACCTTTTTGTCTTATTGGAGGAATACAGGTATGACAAAAAGAGTCTTGTTAATCCTGATGATGATGATGATGTAGGTAAAGGTGATAAGCTGTTTACGATGGGCGTGGATTGAAAGGAGACTTCCTGTGTCATGATTGGCTCATTTCAGATTCTGATGCTAGCTCATGTGACGACCCCCAACACAGACACGGTTATTGTGGGTCATAGCAGCAATGTAAATGTGTTTTTGAATTGACCGTAGTTCCAGCCATTGCACATTCATTCAAACGGTTACATTGTCTACTAATGCACTTAAAAGAATGTAACATATAGAAAATGGGCGACACCTTGTGAATCTGGAGAGGCCGTGATTGGACAAGGAGAGTCTCTTTTCCAGAGAAGGGATTGGTCGGTGGATCCCTTCTCTGGAGGAGAGAGGGTTCTGTTGTTTATTCATCTGCAAACATTTGTTTCGTAAAGCAAAAAAAGCAAAATAACTTTATGAATAAAAAATGTTCAAACGGCTAGCGCTCCCGCCTTTTTTTCTCTCCAGATATCAGAAGAAAATGGCCCTAGGGACTGCATGTCCCCTGGGGTGTCCCCTGGGGCCTCTCTCTCTCTCGCTGAAGCTCTCCTCGCTACATTTGAAGATCAGAGCTCAGGCCTTTCGGTTGGTATTTGAAATGTGTGTGACTCCTGGGTCTGCTACTGCTAACACAAAGGCTCTTAGTTGCGGTACAGGCCAAACCATATTGAGTGGCATCATTTGAAGGCAACTTTTGTGCTGTTCATTTAGCTGTTTGGATGCAGTTTAGTTGAAGGGTAGTGAGCAGGCTGTGCTGCTCTCTAAGGGACATGAGTGTTGTTGTGTCTCATTAAAAAGGCTATTACAATATGGTTAGCCCTACAATTACATACTAAGGATTCACTAATCCTAAAATGTCATTTTTTCACACAATATTTATCAAAAATATCCTTAAATACCAATAACAGTGAGTCTCTTATTGTTGCTGTAAGTTGTTAATTCATTTGATTGTTATGTGGTTATCTTTGGGATGCAGCTGCTATAACTCAACAGGAGGCAGCCAACACCAACATATTCTTAGGATTATTATTCATGAATACTGATTTCTGACTAAAACTAAAGACACCCACTAAACAGAACATTCCATCTCTTTCCCCCCATGGAATGTTCCAGTACACAGGAGTATTACAATACGTGTACAGTATAGACCAGGTAAAGCACAATAAACATGAGATATGGGCATACAATACTATTCATCAAAGTAATAGGAAAATAATATTCTGACAGATGACAGTACTTTTATTGACATTTTCATCCTAGGTATAATGAGAAAGCAATGCCAATATAAAGCTCAATGTCAATTGAAATCCATTAGTCTTACTTGCCTCAAAGGCTACAAGATACTGCAGGATCAGAACACCACCCAGACCCATAATATACTGTAGGATCAGAACACCACCCAGACCCACAATATACTGTAGGATCAGAACACCACCCAGACCCATAATATACTGTAGGATCAGAACACCACCCAGACAATATACTGTAGCATAAGAACACCACCCAGACCCACAATATACTGTAGGATCAGAACACCACCCAGACCCACAATATACTGTAGGATCAGAACACCACCCAGATCCACAATATACTGTAGGATCAGAACACCACCCAGACCCACAATATACTGTAGGATCAGAACACCACCCAGATCCACAATATACTGTAGGATCAGAACACCACCCAGACCCACAATATACTGTAGGATCAGAACACCACCCAGACCCACAATATACAACAGGATCAGAACACCACCCAGACCCACAATATACAACAGGATCAGAACACTACCCAGACAATATACTGCAGGATCAGAACACCACCCAGACAATATACTGCAGGATCAGAACACCACCCAGACAATATACTGCAGGATCAGAACACCACCCAGACAATATACTACAGGATCAGAACACCACCCAGACAATATACTACAGGATCAGAACACCACCCAGACAATATACTGCAGGATCAGAACACCACCCAGACAATATACTGCAGGATCAGAACACCACCCAGACATTATGCTGTAGAATCAGAACACCACCCAGACAATATACTGCAGGATTAGAACACCACCCAGACAATATACTGCAGGATCAGAACACCACCCAGACAATATGCTGTAGGATCAGAACACCACCCAGACAACATACTGCAGGATCAGGACACTACCCAGACAATATGCTGTAGGATCAGAACACCACCCAGACAATATACTGCAGGATCAGAACACCACCCAGACAATATACTGCAGGATCAGAACACCACCCAGACAATATACTGCAGGATCAGAACACCACCCAGACAATATACTGTAGGATCAGAACACCACCCAGACAATATACTGCAGGATCAGAACACCACCCAGACAATATGCTGTAGGATCAGAACACCACCCAGACAATATACTGTAGGATCAGAACACCACCCTGACAATATGCTGTAGGATCAGAACACCACCCAGACAATATATTGCAGGATCAGAACACCACCCAGACAGTATACTGTAGGATCAGAACACCACCCAGACAATATACTGCAGGATCAGAACACCACCCTGACAATATACTGCAGGATCAGAACACCACCCAGACAATATGCTGTAGGATCAGAACACCACCCAGACAATATGCTGCAGGATCAGAACACCACCCAGACAATATGCTGTAGAATCAGAACACCACCCTGACAATATGCTAATGTAAAGGTGATGATAATAATCTTACAACATAATAATACAAATATAAAACACAACATTCCAATTCCATGAGTCCATTATGTTATTCACGATATCTCTTTTCTCATGACATGTAATAAACCTATAGTGAGCCGTAGAGAAGCTTATTGACAAGCTTAGATTGTTTTCAATTAGGCGTATGGAGGCAAGGTGCTTTTATGAGGTTAAGTACCCACCTACAGTAGCCTTCCCATTGAGGCTGACTGGTCTCATCATCCCATCGCTTGCTTTAGCTGCTGACTTAGCTGAACAAAGTGTCCAGAACGATTAAAGATGCCAGTGTCTCCATGGTGTGACTCTGGATAGTGGTTTAGCCTAATTGGAGAAGGAAATGCATTTGTTCCAGTTTATTACACCTAAACCTAGCTTCTCCCTGTTCGCACTGTGGCTATAGTCTCACCGTTGGGACTCATGTGAGGACCGCTTTCTCTGTCTGGGGTTATTTAAATACCATTCACGGAATTGATAGGGCCGCCTTAACATGCCACCTTCTGGGTTAGGCAGAATTGGAATGGAAGTTGTGTTTTCATAAGCTAATGATCAGTACTGCCCACCTCAGCTGGGGGGAGGGTCAGGAGGCCTCTGAAACCAATCAGAGAGAGAAGTGGATTCTACAGGTATCTCCAACAGACTGACTCAGGTAAATGTACAGGTTCTAATACAATGGTAAGATGTGCACGAGTAATAGTATGAACGTAACCATGTAAATAATTAAGCAGCACGACATCAATCCAAAGCACGAGTCTGCTGTCTATTCTAAGTGCGCTGCTCAGTGGTTTTAATGTAATTATTCTTAGCCAATATGTATTCAACATGTCCCCAAAAGTATTACTGTGTTTTAAGTTTATTATTTTACAACGATATGAACATTTTAAAGTCAGGTTCAAGTGTAATCTGTTGAGTATTGAGGTGGTCTCCAGTATATTTCCCCTCTTCCTCCTCCTCCTCCTCCTCCTCCTCCTCCTCCTCCTCCCTGTTAGTCTGTGCTCTGAGCCGGCCACTCCCCCTCCATTCCCCCAGGTGTTCCCTAATGAGCAAAAAAAAATTGAGCAGGGGTGAGCATCCCCTATGCCACCATCCGTCATTCTAATGAGCAGAAGGAAGGAGTGAGGGGTGTCCCCACACCTCTCAATGAGATGCAGGTGATTACAGACATTAGGCAGATAGATACACGTACAGGCTGGCTGGGCCGGGTTACACTGCAGAGCAGAACCTGCATAAGGACATGAATATGCAGCAGGCTATAAAGATGAGTCAGGCCTGGCCAAAGCAGTCATACATCCTGCTTGGATTAGTACAAGGGGTTTTCAAACCTCTCCTCTGGGACCCCCAGACATTCCATGTATTTTAACTATTCAACAGCTAGCTCA